AGAGGTAACAGAGACCAAAGATAGCCCTGTGGGAACTGGGAAGCTCCACAGCGAAGACTGGAGTATCTGTCCATAGGAGCACTTTAAGCCACACACTCCACAGAGCTGGCCTTCATTGTTCAGAAAAAAGCCATTGTTTACAGGAAAAAAAATGAGCAAACATGTTTGCTGTTCATCAAAAGCATGTGGGAGACTCCCCAAACATATGGAGGAAGTTACTCTGGTCAGATGAGACTAAATTTGAGCTTTTTCGCCTTCACGAAGACGCTATGTCTGGTGCAAACCCAAGACCTCATCACCCTGAGAACACCATCCACACAGTGAAGCATGGTGGTGGCAGCATCATGCTAAGGAAATGTTTCATCAGCAGGGACTGGCAAACTGGTCAGAATTGAAGAAATGATGGCTGGGGCTAAATATACAGGGAGATTCTTAAGGGTAATCTGTTTGTCTGCCAGAAATTTGAGACTGGGACAGGGGTTCACTTTCCAGCAGGGCAATGACCCCAAGCATACTGCTAAAGTTACAGTGGTTTAAGGGGAAACATTTAAATGTCTTGGAATAGCCTAGGTCCCAGACCTCAATCCAATTGCCTTGAAGATTGCTATACACCAGTGAAACCCATCCAACTTGAAGGAGCTGGAGCAGTTTTGCCTTGAAGAATGGGTAAAAATCCCAGTGGCTAGATGTACCAAGCTTATAGAGAAGTACCTCAAGAGACTTGCAGCTGTAATTGCTGCAAAAGGTTAGCTCTACAAAGTATTGACTTTGGGGGGTGAATAGTTATGCACACTCATGTTTCTGTTTTTTTCTCTTATTCCATGTTTGTATCCCAATAAAAAAAATATTTTGCATCTTCAAAGTGGTAGGCATGTTGTTGTGTAAATCAAATGATACAAACCCAAACTCTGCATGCAGCATGTTTGGCTCATCGCATGGTAAAGAAACACAAACTCAAGCAAGCATGTGTACAGCAATGTGTACAGCTATCACTGCAGATCGGGAGCTGCAAACGTGGTCAAACTGCCTTTTTCTGCCACTTGCGTGAATAAGGCTTCATACCAAGGGGCTATCACATACCAATTATGGATCTTTTTAAAATGCGAATCCAGGAATTTGCACATAACTTCCCTGGAACCATGTACCTTGAACCTCCCTAGATTCATTGCAGACCCACTGCTCAGCAAATGAAAACCTCATTCCTATTTAGCATTTTGTACATTTTGCGGAATTTTCAAACACAGCACAATAGAAAATACTTTGTTTTGAATGGGCCCCATTAATGTGTTGCATCGTAGTGCTTGTGCAAGAGTCCTGTATGCTGCATTTTGGGTGATTTGACCTACGTAATACTATACATAAAGTTTGTTTTGAAATCTTTATTGCAGGGCTGAGTTGTATGAGACAACATACCGTATTTTTCGCTCCATAAGGCGCACTTTTTCCCCCCCAAAAGGAGGGGGAAAATGTGCCTGCATCTTATGGAGCGAATACCTATCGCCCGACACCCGGGACATGCAGTTTCGGGCGCCGGGCGAGTAGTTTTTTGTACATTCAGCCCTGCTCCTGACAAGCAGAGCTGAATGTACAGTGGTAGCCGCTGCTCGTTTAATACAAGTGATCTAATTAGATCACTTGTATTAAATCGAGCGGCGGCGATTGTGTCCACCCCCGCCGTGGTTTTCGGGGACCCCCGCTCCTCTGGGGACCGTGACAACGGTCCCCCATAGGAGCTCACCATAGAGCCCCTTGAGCAGACGAAGAACGTACTTCTTCGTCTGCTCTGTGTGATTACTGAGACAGCGCCACCTGTCTCAGCGGTCACTAACTGCAGTTTGTCACAGATTTTCTGTCACAGAAGCCCTGCGTCCTATCGTCCGGAGCGCCTATATAGAGCGTGAAATACGGTAGATATAGAACGTAAAGGCTACTGGGCAAGCATCTCCACTTACATGGTTGTCATCCAGTGGCCAGTATTGGCATCAGACTTTTAGACTTGTGAGAGAAATCACTCTAGTGTAATTAATCTTGGCTGTATGTTTTAAAACATTGTTTCTATTTAGAGCTTGTATTTATATCTGTATACGGGGGCAGAGGTATTGGTTTACATTGTACTGCATGTGCAGGCTTTGCTAGCTTCTTTGTTCTGTACAATGTTTACCTTGCTGATGTTCTGTTGCTGCAAGTCTACCACAGAGTGAATGTCTGCTTTGAAACTAAACTAAACTGCAGTCTTTAATGATGTGGAGCATCCATAATGGTTTTGGTAGTAAGGTACCATATCATCAAGGCTACTTAGGCTTTACATCAAGTCAGTTTCTTGCCAACAGCAGTTTTTGTATTTGAGATGAGAAAGGTCTGAAAGGGATTCCTACATTTTGTCAGTCCAAAACTCTTTAAATGACATCCTATGTAACACAGGTTTTAGCGTAATAATATTCCAGTTGTGAAACATCTTTGAATCGTCCATCTTTTATAAGCGAATGCACTTACCAGACGGTTTTGACCCAATAAAAATATATAAGGTAAAGTCTCGCTCAAATATGTCTGGTCCCCTATGTAATGTTCATGCGCTGGTCCATTGTGAGTCATGACCTAAATTTCCCCTCCTCATTATTCCCTGTGGGTTAATTTATTCTATAACCTAAATGTTTACCCCCCCTATCACCAGATCATTAGGCCTTTTGCTTTGTGATTTTTACAGTTGCCCTACTTTGGTGTTTTAAGACTGTTTTGTGGCAGTTATATAAATGTGTGGATTATAGAGTAGGCCAGATGTTTATCACATCATATAAAGAGAAGCGGTTACATGTGCACTCATGTTCCCGGTTTGTTTAATGTTTTCTTATTAACAGCCTGAAACACAAAATCCATATAAAATCCACAAATAATATTGCTCGTTAGAGCTTCGTGTCATGTTACATCATTTTAACTGTGATATCCTTAACAGGCATACAAATTGATTTGTTATATTATGGATTGGCTGTTTTAAGTATTAACTTTTTTTTTTTCTTCATGAATGCACTCTTGGCGATGGTCTAATTCTCCAGTTTTAAACTGCTGTTTGTTCCTTCTAGATCCTATGTGATATTTTATATGGAAGATTATCCTTCCATTAATTGTAATTGGTTGGGTTCATAGGAGTACAAGATGTTTCTACAAATACGTTTTTGATGAGGTTGCTAGGAATTTCGCATAAATCACATAATGCACACATATATTTCTCATTGAAGCTTGTATTGGACATCCCTTTTTCTTTTTTCCTTTTTATAATATGGCCAGCAGAAATAAACGTAAAAGATGCCTGCAAATTAGAGAACTGTCAAAATATTTATACACACATCAGCTGTATATTGTATACAGCTGATGCACACATTAGTTAAAATGGAGCACTTACAAATCTCCAATAACAACCACTTCAGTTCATCCACTTCTGAGAATGTTGAGTTACCTCTTTCAGTTTACACGTAAGCAGATGCAAATTAAGAATTTATAACATGTTTTCCTACATATTTTTTAGGATTTTCATCATTTGAAGCACTGTGCAAAAATAAGATGCCTGTAAACACTGTCCCTTGGCTTTGGGGGTAATTTTAGCAAATTCCTCAATTCCTCAATCTGAAAAATGAAAGAATCTGAAAATGTTTGACTGCATCTCCTCTTGATTTTCTTTTCACAAACAGGTTTCTTAGAACTAACCCAAACATGTTTGTCTGATTTCAAATGTACTAGAGTTCTTATGTTTGTGTTTACTCTATGGGTCACAGCATTATCAATCATTTCACTAATTTATAATAAAAGCCTTGTGCTGTATGTTGTAGTTATTTAATGTTTTTAACATACTAATGATAATTGCATGTGGTACAAAACAGTTAACATATAACGATGCACTTTAAAAGCATATACCTTACTACACACCCACTCTGTAAATCAAATTGTGGAACATATGAAAATGTAAAAACCTTGCAAACCCGGATGATACCCAAATAGCTTCCAGACAACCCGCAGCTACTCAACTACTGGGCAGGTACACAATCCTATCTAACAAACCAACCCACGTCTTCAAATTCCAACTTGGTTGGAGATAAAGATTTGTAACCCCCCCCATGGAACTGTACAGATATATACAAATCCAGCACTGGATGAGCAACATGAATAAACAGAAAGCAGTATGGAAACCCCTGATGTATTAACCCAATAAGAAGATTGAAAGCAAATTTGGGTAATATTGCTAAGTGCTTCTTCAATGTCTTTAACGCAGAAGCTTTAGACTAATGAGGTCTCCATACTAAGAAAAACTTGGGTAGCATTACTGCACAGCTATCTTAGCCTTAACAATCTTTAACCTGCCAAACTAGAAAAAGAAAATCATACAATTTTCAGAACTCAAAGAGAGAGTCAATCCCATTACGATTAACAAAAACAAGTATACACTTTATAGAGAACATATTACTTAATGCTTCCATCCATCCTTAGACAACACCACTATATGACACCTATACACTCTGAGGAACACTGCGGCAATGGAGCAATGGGAGGGGGTTGTGCAATCTCGACACACATGGCACCCTGATAAATGCTTCAGGTTTGACTGAACCCCTGCAAACCTGACCCCCCTTTTTTTCCCCTTCTCTTTGCACTCCTTCCCCATCTTACTTTTTTTGTCCTAATTTTCCTCTCTGGTTTCTACTACTTAATTTCCAACACATCCATACCAGTGGAAATGAGCAGTTCTTCAGGGTACCGGTAGTTGATAAATCCCCAGCAGATGGATTGGCACTATGTGATTGTGTGTAGTGAGCTTTTTGACACTTTTGTTTTGTGATGCAAAGTTTTTTTTCCCATCACAGACCCCAATGTGTCCACTTGTTAGTATATTAATGTTAAGTAAACACAAAACTCTGCCAACCTATGTAGTAACTTGTTTACCCTATTTTATGTGTCGTAATAAAAGCATTGCAACAGAAAACTTTAAGAATCTTTCTTTTTTTCTCATAAAGGATCTGGTCCACCTGACTGGGATGGCATCCATTGAGAATGGACAGGATATGGATGAACAACCAGTAAGTTTCTCATTTTTTTTTTCTCTTTACATTTTCAATGAATGACGTAATGTACCATGCAACCCTACTTTAGAGTCTTTCTTGGCTCTTTGTCTACCATTTAAACGAAGCTTCTTCTGTTTAGTCTTGGGTCAATTTTCCTCACAGCCACGTCCAGGGAGGTTGGCTACTCTCTGATGGCCCTTAAATTTCACAATATTTGCAACTGTAGTCACAGATAGTGGCAAGCTCAGGTTCGGACCAAATCAGCCCTGTAGCAGCTCTGTACCAGCATTCATATTTATAGGAAGCGCCATGATGTCACCACACTCCCGATCTAAACAATTCAGAAGCTTCAACAGCGTGCTCCTATGGAGTTCACTGTAAAAAGCAAAGGAAGCCCAGGAGCTGATCATTTCTGATAGCTCTGGACCCTGGCTGTCTTAGACAGTTGCAGTTGTAACCTACATGCCGATAGGGGCCTGCATTAGCAGATGAAATTGACCACCATTTTAAAACAGTGCTGGGTCGTTTAGCCTCTATCCTGGTGGCCATTTTAAAATGGTGGGTGGGACCCAAATGGTTAATTTGTAATCATTCTGGGACCGTGTTCAGTGGGTTGAATTTTCAAATATGTATGACCTTTTATGTTTACTGTTATCCTTCTTTTTTTTTTTTTTTTTTTTTTTTTCTTCAGTTAAAGTTACAAAAAGAAACTTCATTTGTATTTTATGTATCACCGCTCTTTGCGACGCATTGCTTTGGCATGCTGTGAAATGCACTGCATAAAATGGCACACATGCTAAATTTTTACACATCACACACCAGCTTAAAACTGATGTGAACAGGGCACATGAAGAGTAAAGGTGCCCATACACTGTACGATTATCGTACGAGAATCACGGGAAATCCCGCGATCGTACAATAATCGCAAAGTGTATGGACGTTTCTGCTGTACAGTCGCACGTCTTCCTTCGAACAAGCAGGCTTAAAACCCGCCGAGAATCGTACCATTCTCGGCAGGTTAGTGGCCTGCTTGTTCGACAACTGCTGAAAGGGCCAGTGTGCGCACACTGCCCGTTTGCAGTCATCGGATAGCAAGTACGATCTGCCTGTCCAAGACGGGCAGATCGTGCGAGCTTTTAATTAGCTTACAACCATCGCAAGACAAAAGTCTTGCGATGGTTGTAAGGTGTATGGGCACCTTTTATTGTTTTTATTTGAGCCCTTGTGTTGTTCCTGCATTGATTAATGCAAATCAGTGCACCTGTTGTGAATGAGTCCTTATGTATTCATGAAAAAGGTCAGCTTACCTGCTCATTTGTTATAATTAATGTCTAACTCCGATGTTATCCTCGTACCATCGATTCCCTCAGTGACCCCTAATTCTGCATTTTAATGTCTGTAGAAATATCTTGGCAATTTTAAACATGATAGTTATCAGTTAATCATAATCTGTGAGGCTAAGGGCAGAAAAATGTCCTGCAATTAGTTAATCCTGGATGTGTGGTTAGTAGCACCTCTTAAAAAAATTTACCTCTTGCTTGAAGGTTCATTGAGTTTATTTGAAGGGAAATGTTAGATACAGACAACGTGTTTCAAGAATTTTGGACTCCCCTTCTTCAGGGCTTGAGTAACAACCTGTAAGGTAATCAGGAAGAGCTGTATTTTGTAGCCAGCAAGACCCATTTGCAGTGGGGACCCCTGACTGGATCTTCCTGATTCCATTGCATATCATTGGTTATCAGTAAACAGGAGTAGCAGCAGAACTACTGCCGTTGGCATATGTGTAGGTGGTGACGGGGGAGCAGAGAACTCCCCTGTCATTATTATGATCCACACTAGGGGTCGGCAACCCCCGGCACGCGTGCCCAGCTTGGCACGCGAGGCCACATCTGCTGGCACGCAAACTAATTTTGTTTGCATTTGACAGCTCGCTCGAGCCAGCTGTCAGATTGAAGTCCCACGCACCTCCCTGACATGACCAGATGACCGTGCGCGGAGCCGCGCTGAGGAGGCCCTTGACGGTCTGCTCAAGGTCCTGTCTGGTGGATTCTTTACCTGCAGCACGCAGGACCGAAGGAGGAGAATCGCTCGCCTGCCGGACTAAGAGGATCTTCTGTTCCCCGCCTGATTTTGTCACCATACTGCCCATCATTAGTCAGAGCACAGTGCACAGAGCCGGAGGATCACCCTGCAGCATCACTGTAAAAATAATAGATGCACATCTGAGCACAGTTTGCCACATTGCATTTGTCATTTTCTTGGGAGGGAGCTGACAGTGGGCTCGTGCTCATATCTATTTTTAGTGATCAACAAAGCGACTTAGGGAAGTCATGAGGATTGGAGTTGACGGGAGGTAGAAGTAGGCATAGGCAGACCAGAGCCAGCCTCGAGAGGAGATAACATTGTAGTAGAGCCTGCCAGAGATCATGTTACAGGCTTGCTCCAGCAGCAGCTTGCATTGCTGCAGGTCAGTCAAAGCTGTTATACTTCTACTCCTGGCTACTGATAATCAGTAGAGATGGGAAGTTCGGATCTTTGAAATGAATCGGTTCATTTTGAACAGTTCATTCAAATGAACCGATTCATGAATTGATTCTTTGGTTCACTTGCTGAGTCGGCTGACAAGCAAGTGAGCCAAAGCTCAGGAGCTGTCTGAACCTTCATAACAGACTCTGATTCAGAGAAGGCTGGCAGCTCCTGGGGAATGTTCCGGTGATCAGTGAGGTAGTGCCTTGGCACTGCCTCACTGATCTGAGTTTGTCAGCCATATTGTCAGATCAGCCAATGTCGTCACTTCTAGTGACGCTCGATCAGCTATGTTAAAGAAAAGCGGTTTACTGTACATGTTCACTGCAGTCTGATGGGCTAACATCACATCTAATATTGCTAGCCACCAGATTCGTCCATAGTCTTTACAGCGCATGGGCGGGAAAAACAATTAGATTTTACCACCGTGGGTGCAGCACCCATGGTACTAAAATCAAATAGTTATTGCGCTGTAAACACTATACAAAAATCTGATGGCTACCAATGTTAGCTCTGGCGTCAGCTCCTCAGAATCCAGTGCGCATGTGCATTAAGCCGCCTTTCATTAACACGGCTGATCGCGCGTCACCAGAAGTGACGACATTGGCTGATCTAAAGAGAACCTGTCAACTCCAAATGCTATCACATAGGGGATTGTTATCCCCTGTGTGATAGTAATAAAGTTAAGTAAAACAAAAAAATTTAAATCATCCTGTTGCCCATAGCATCTGCAAGTGAATAAACATGTTTAGGGCATGTATGTAAAAGATGATTGCATCACACGTGTTAGGTGTCATTGCAAACTTTGGAGGGAGAGTATTAAACCATTGCTGCAACCTGACCATTGATTCAGTGTACTGTTCTACCAGAGACTCCATGATTCTGCAACTCAGTAACTGATCTGGAGACTCGCGTTTCTTTTGACTCCGTAACTCTTCTGCAGACTCGTACTATTCTTTAACTCAGTAGACTCATACGATTCTTTAAAGTGACATTAAAGTCAAAAATGTTTTTCCCTCGCCCAACGTTAATGTCAGCACTTACCTTTTAAATGATGTTGCTTAATCCGATCTTCTTTAGTGTTATTTTCATCTGTCCCTCCAGCGCTGCGGTGGGTCTCCGATCCAGCGCTGAGTACTCTGTCCTTGCTGCCACTTCTGCCCCACGGTGTCTGTATGCGGGTGCATGCGTCCACAGACTTACGTTCTGATTGGTTGCAGGGAGGGGCTGGCAGCAGCAGACTTCTCTCACTCTAGAATCCTATTACAAGTGCTGCTCTCCTATTCATTCCATACTGAGCTGTTTCAAAGGGATCAGCTCACTCAGATGAATCGACTCATCCAGTTCACTGAAAAGAATTGATTCAAAAGAACGATTCGTTCATGAACTGGACATCAGTAATAACCAGTCTTTACCCCAAAGGTCTGTCACTGGGCTATCCTTCAGATCCAGTCCTTTGCAGAGGGTGAAAAAGCAAAGTAGAATATAAGTTTGTGAATTTGCGCTGGCTTGGAATATAAATTGGTGAAGTGATGGCTGCAATAAAGTATATCTTCAGATTTACCTGGAGTTTGGCTTTAATGCAATTTTTGTATTCATTAATAGATGTGTTTCTGTAAATGCGAGCAGTGTAATCTTGTACCTTGAATTGATTTTTATCAGTCTCTTGCAATCCTCCTGTCCACCTGAGCTCACACTCGGAGAGGGAGAAGCAGCACAATCAGTTATCCTACAGTGCTTATGTACTAACAGGATGCATGCTGATAGAAAGAGAGAGCAGACAGATGAGCTCATCAGTGTACTTCTTCTCCATGACTCTCCATGACTGTCCATGAACTGGCAGGGGCATGGACAAAATTTAGTTGTATTACTGAAAGACAGCAAAAAAAAAAGGTTGCCTTCTGCTCTCGAACATGGCTGTGTTGTGTTGCGAATGCATGAATATTTCAGCACTTGATGAAGAGACACATCCTTTGGCAGGTAAAACCGTTCCCATTCATTTATTTAGCTGTTTTCCTGCAGTTGCGCTTTTAAGCCAATTTTTTACAGGGAAGGGAAGGATATGATGGTTAGGAACAGACTGAGGCTGTACATGCATGTCCTTTTCTTCTAACAATGCTATAATTAAGTGTTCAGCATAGAAAAAACAGTTTTGGCATTTTTTTCTGTCACACCTTGTAGTACTATACGTATATCTGTGATTTTAAAAATAACATTTTACTTTTTTTTTTTCTTCTGTACTACATTTCACATGTAATTGGTTCCAATCAAGAGCAAGTGATCTTTTAAAAAAAACTGTGCACCCTTACAATTTAGGAACAACTATTCCAAAGCTTTGTGTGGCTTAACTGATAAGGCTTCTCAAATTTCCTAATCCTGAAACTGTACTTAAGAGGCAACAGCCGCATCTTACAACAGTCGCATGTTTTCTGATGTGAAAGTTTGGTGTCCAACTGCAGTGCTTTGAGTACATGCAATCAGATTTTAATTTTGAGTTAAACCTTAATATATGTTTTCAAATGTTATATGCATTAGATTATAATTTAGGTTTTAAAATGTTATATGCATTAGATTATAATAAATATGTCTACCAATAAATATATTTTTGTTTTCCAGGTAAAGAAAGCCAAAATGGAGGATCCCAATGAAGAAAGAGTAAGGTCAGTAAATGTATATGTATGTATATAGATTGTTTGTTTTTTCTTTCATAAAATGTTCTAGTTTGGAGTGAATTTATACATATCCAATAATATCTCATAGAAAATATTTCAGTGTTCAATATTTTTACATTGTTTACTCAACTAATTATAAATATGTATTTGTTCAGAATATAAAGCCAATTTTGTTCAGTTATTTAATTTCAAGGTGTTTCGTATAAATATTTATAATAGCTTTCTGTTTTGTCATTTTTCTGTTGATTGGTCAAATATCTATTTGATTTAAATAAATATTCTATGACAACAATTATATGACCATGTGTTTAATGGAGAAAGTAGAACTTTTATGATTGTATGCAAGTTAACTTCAGCTTGTACTGCTAGTACAGTATTTACATGATCATACAGATGTATATTTTGTATAAAAATATAACTATTGAAAAATGTTTTACCATTTAAAATGGGTATTCAGTACTGTGCAGCTTATAGGCATTAAGGAAAGGGTTGCATTTTACTCAGTCGAAGTAGAGAATGTGGAGCACTAGGGGCTTATCTAAAATCAAAAACTAAAACATGGGCAGTTTATTTCACATCTATTTTTTTTCCCCCTTCGCAGTCCATGTAGTAGCTTTCACTCCACATAAGATCAGGTGCCACCTACAATAGCACGAGAGTTATTTATATTATATGGGAGTTTGTCTATGTGTACTAATATTTCTGCATGCCAGGATACCACTCAAATCCAACTGACTAGGGTAAATGTACTCCTTTTTATTTTCATTTCCTCCTTTTCAGCCAAACGAGTAATGGTGAACCCCCCAGTCAGAAAGGAGAACTATCTTCTAACCATACCATTCCTAGTGAAAGTGAGTATTTTGATTTTAAACCACAGCCTGGTCACTTTCAAATGTTATACTGCAACTGTACTATCTGTATTCATAAAATTAAGCATTTTCAAAAGACCGCGGGTTGTTTTTTTGGAGCAAAAATTCCTTACTGATTTTGTTCACAGTGCAGTAATCACTAGCAGCCAACAGGATTTCATTTTCCGCCAGTTTAGAGCAATTGGAACCATAGTTGGCGCTTGCAAATTGATCACTGTGGGCTACTGCAATTTGCATTGCTCTCATTATTAACCCTTTCCCTGCCACTGTAAGTCATACAGTGTCACGCAACTGCTTCGGGCTGGCCACATCAGTATGCCTTACGCCGGTGGTTTTCACCCTTCTGCTATAAGCTTATGATCGTTTAAGCGACCATGAACTTGTATCAGAAGCGTTCTGACAGTTCCCTGTAAATGAATAGCAGCCGCTGATGACAGCTATGCATTTAAATTCCAGCCATTGAGTTCAATGCACCACCACGCCTCCTCCTGCCCCAAAACAAAGTGAGCCGGCTGGAATGCGACCCAGTGCATTCCATCCAGAATCGGGCAGGAACGCACTGAGGCTGGTGTGAATTAGCCCTTAGTGTAATATTTTTCTGTGTGCAGCACAAACACTGGAGGGATCGCTTATCACTCATGTGTTTGTAAACAACTGGGGACATAGTATGTGTCCCCAGTTATGAATGAACAGGAAGTGTTTACATCACTTCCTGTTCATTCATGATTTACAGTTTTGCGTTTTGTGTTTTTTTAGGGTTTCTCAAAGTCCCAATTTAAAATTTACAAATATTTGTTATTTATTAACTAAATACGGTTTTATTTTTTAGATTAAGTCGGAAAAGTATTTGTTTTTTTCTGTGCACTGATACTGATTTTAGTGTGATTTTTTTTTTAAATCGATTTGTGTATTTTTATCGGTTTAATACTGATTTGAAAAACATTTGCACAATTATCACAGGACCTACAAAATTATTAGCACCATCATTTTTTTTGACCAGTCCTGTGCTTTCAGGAAATGTATGGTTATAGTAAAAGCAGCAGTTGAAAATTATAAAAAAAAAAAAAGATTGCAAAAATGGTGTGGCCATAAAAGTGGAACGCAGGGCTTGGCAGCAAAAGGGTTATAGGGAATGTGTAGTGGTTTTGTTCATATGTGTTTCCTTTGTTATGATCAGGACTAAAAAAACATTATTTGGGTAAATAAAATATTGCATATTAATACACTGCCTGGTCCAAAAAAAAGGTCACACACTCTCTAATATTTTGTTGGACTGCCTTTAGCTTTGATTACGAGGAGCATTTGCTGTGGCATCTTTTCGATAAGCTCATGCAATGTCACAACTTTAATTTCCATCCAGAGTTACATTAATGTTTTACTAAGATCTTGTAGTGATGATGGGAGAGTAGGACCACTGCGTAAAATAAAGTCTTTTTTCCATCACATCCCAAAGATTCTCAATGGGGTTAAGGTCTGGGCTCTGTGGTGGCCAATCCATGTGTGAAAATTAGGGATGCACCGATACCGATACTAGTATCGGTATCGGCGCCGATACCGAGTATTTGGGTGAGTACTCGTACTCGCCCAAATGCTCCGATGCCTAGCACGAGTACTTCCTGTATCAGGAAACCGGGCAGCACATCATTACACACTGCCCGGTTTCCTGATTGGCCAGGAAACAGCTCCATGCTCTCTTGTCACTTGTGATGAGAGAGCATGGAGCCGACTTCCCGGCCAATCAGGAAGCCGGGTAGCGTGCAATGACGCGCTGCCCGACTTCCCGATTGGTCAGGAAGCTAGCAAATCCAGAAGCCGGGCGCCGTGTAATGACGCAGCGCCCGGCATTCTGAATGGCCGGGAAGCCGGCGTCATGCTCCATCGTCATCTCATGAATCATAATATTAAGAAAGTGACCTTAAAGCATTAGTTTGTATTGCTTTAGAAAAAATGTGACCTGTCCCTTTAAGAAAAAGTATCGGTAATTGGTATCTGCGAGTATTTGATTAAAAGTATCTCTACTCGTACTCGGTCCTAAAAAAGTGGTATCGGTGCATCCCTAGTGAAAATGGTGTCTCATGCTCCCTGAACCACTCTTTCACAATTTGAGCCCGATCCTGGCATTGTCGGAATATGACCAATGTGCCATTAGGAAAGATCAAAACCCATTGATAGAAAAACCTGGTCATTCAGTATATTCAAGTAGGTGGCTGACCTCATTTTTTGGGAACATAATATATGTAACATATTAATCACTGCAGGCATTATCCAATGGAAGGCTCTTACCTATTTGCTTAACTAAATGCAGGTGGTGACTTATTTTTGCCAGGCAGTGTATGTTGTAGTCTCCTAACCAGCCAGCAGGTGAACTTTTGTCTGCTTTTCACATCATTAGCATTATTACTTTTCAGGTGTACTGAAAGAAAGCCCTTATTTACAGAACTCCCATGAGTCATCAGGTCATTGACTTATCTCTTATAAGATGGCAGATTCTGAGGTTTCTTTCAGGCAAATGGAGCCCCAAAGCTAGCTGATCTTTCTTCTCAGATAACCTGGGAATCAGTCATGCTCATTTGCAAGGACTATATAGATAATTAAAAAAGGTTAAATATTTAGAAACTTAAAACAACAAAAGAAATTCACCAAAAAATCATTATGGAAACATTTGGTCTAAATAAAATTTAGGAGGCTGTTTTTAAAGCAGAACTCCCAGCAAAAATGTTTTATCAAAATGTGTTGTGTAACAAATGGTGTATGTCACCTCCACAATTGCTGTTCTTTATATTTAAAATTTACACTTTCTTTCATACCAGATCGTGTAGCTCTAGCTACGCTTTCGGTCCGCTGCAGCTTTGAGAGTTGTGGCTCTTGTGCACAAAAAATTTATTGTTTTTTTTTTTTTTGTTTTTTTTTTTGTTTTTTTACATTCCCACTCCCTTTGTTCATTAATGGAACACTTTGTATTCTGTAAACCATTTACAAAATACAAGGTGTTCGATTATTTGGGGTAGGGATGCACCGGTTCATTTTCATGAGTACGAGTACTCGATACCGGCACTTTACATTTTTAAACTGAAGCGGCTGCCTGAAGTACCGCGCTTGCAGTGGAGCTACCCCTGCGCTGCAAGGGTTACCTGCTTATTTTGGTCTAGGGGCTCAAAAAAACAAAAAAATATATACTCACCAGATTCTCAATCCCACCTGGCTGCTAGACTGGTCCCCGAAGCCTCTTCTCCCCTGTGCTCTGGCGGTCTAAGCCCCACTGATGTCATCACATCTGATGCAGTCCATTCATCTGTATTGGATGTGAGAACACCGAGGGACCACAGCCGGAGCAGAGGGGGAGAGAGGTGAGCATTCACTGCCACAAGACCAAAGATCAGATGAGTACATTTTCTGTATTCCAGCCCCTAGAGAAAAAGAGAGCAGTTAACCCTGGCGGTGTGGGGGTAGCCCCACTGCCAGGGTTAACTTTCTACATTCCTGGACTACTTATTTAACAGTGTAGTTATGAAATGGAAAATTGCTCAATTTCTTGTTAAATTACTTTGCAACTTTTACTTTCCTTGCATTGGCACAACAGCTAATGTGGAAACCCAGGGCCTCCTCCATCTCTCTGCGTTCGACTCCTCCACTACATTTATGCTAATTAACAGCTTGGCTCAAGTAGAAGAGCAGGCAAAGGTCATACTGCATCTTGTTAACCATATCTTTTTTTTTTTCTCCTGGTTCTGTCTTAGGATTGACATGTTAAACTGGAACAGTAGTGACTAAGCACAAGATCTAAAATTTACATTTGTAGCTTCTTGTCTATAGATCTTATTAGAGATGAAGTGTCTAGAATTTTTGTAAGCTACCCGTAATGTTTTGTCTTTCTTTTGTGCAGTCCTTCACTGTACTGACTATATAGCCCGAACTCCTAGTGACTATGCTTCCCAGTTGTATCAAACGAAGTAAGTCTGCTCTCCTTTTACTATTATTGGCTGTGTGCATTCTACTGTAGGTTCTTCCTCTTGTGGAAAATAAAAAGTCACTTGGCTGTTGCACTAATACAATTACATTTTGGTGAATATCAGATGTGTGTTTGATGAAAATAGTCTGTCTTTACAAAAGAATGTCGGCAAGTTTAAAAGGCGTATAATAATGTGTGTTGCTTTGTTTTATGTACATTATAGAAATTAAATATCTTAGCTGGCTGTTCTGAGTTTATAGCCTCCAACAGAGACCTAAAGAAATCATTTGAGAATCTCGTCACCTAAGATAACCTAGACATTTTGATAACTTGCTAAATGGTTAGAGTTTGCAGTACCATGAAACAGAAATATATTAGAAGTTATGTTTGAGTTCCTTAAGAATAATAAAAGCAGACATGAAACTTGGTTTCTTTTGCCTGTTCACACCATCTGCTACTTTGTGGTGTGAACCGAGCCCATCTATGACAAGGCAAATCGCTTTGTCTTGTGTTCCGGCTGCGCTGGGGAAACAAAAAAACGCTGTACTTTTTTTTTTGGCGCACGGCCGTGAGACACGGTTCAACCTCATCGCACTGCGGTGAGTCCATAGAAGTGAATGAAATGTCACTTGTGACATTTTAATAAAGTTCTAACAAAAGAAAAGAACAGGACGATGGTGCTCAACCAAGCTCAACGGGACTATCCGGGGACACGAACACTAGCAGCTGTGCAGTTGAGCATGGCTGGTGGTGTGAACGTACCCTTAAAGTTTGTTTTTGACTTGATAGACAAAATTAAATAAGAAAACTGGAGAAAAAACTTAAATGTGTTAATTTGTGCATTTTACATCTTTTCTAGGCCGTATACACACATTCTTTCTGTACCTGTAGCAGAAACTATTCCAGCATACACTGGGCAGACTCAGTATCAATCCTTGCAGCCATCTCAGCCATATACAGTGTACCCTCAGCCAACACAAACATATGGTCTACCTCCGTTTGGTAAGTGTGTTTGATTAGGAAAGTCTTTTCACCATTTTCTTGCCTTTTTATTACATGTCTGCATATGAAAGGTTAGAATATTGCTGGTACAGAAGTATTTGAAGCCGGTCGCAAGACTGACTGTACCAAAACATAGTACATATCCTTATAGTAGAACAAGTTTTTTTTTTAAAGTCCATAGTAGTGTTAGTGATTCAGAAAACTGTTGTGAAGCTGTGGTTGAAAAACTGTTATAAAATGTATCCAGTCCAAGAAGGCTAATAAACATTATGTATGCATACTCTTAATTTATAGTCAATTAATACTGTATTAACTATCCCCCTCTATCTTAACTACCTGGACCCTCCAACCACACTGTATAAAGGATAGAAGTGGTCATGAGAAGAACTACAGCCCAGGCAGGCAGCCTACAAAACTTGTCAGTTTATAGTTCTGAAAAAATTATAATTGTCCATATACAGTATGTATAAGTTTGGTGGTACATTGTATGTATGTGTGTAGCTTATGTCCATATTATATTTGTTAAAAAGGTTGCTAATCTTTTCCCTCTAACCATAGTGGTCCATAAATCTTTAGCGCAGTTTGTCTGGGCCCTTAGCCCAATTGTCATTCAGTCCTTCAAAAAACACAGGTATTCCATATCTGTATGTTTCTTGCCATGCTGTTTTTATTTAAATTTTTTTTCCCATACACTACACATAGTGCTTCAAGAATGAACCCTTATGTATTTTTGTTTGTTCAGGTGCACTGTGGCCAGGTGTGAAGTCTGAAAATGGATTAATACAGACCCTTAACCCCCCTACAGTTTTGACATGTTCCTCAGGAGTTACCAACAGCCATACCAGCTCGGTACTATATTCCTACCCTATACAAGGTAAAATATATTCTTTACTATTATTTGGCTTGTGAGTATTAAAAAATATCTTGGTTATACCTGAAATCAACATTTCAATCAAGCAAATTATGTTAAATATATTTTCAGCTATAGAAAGGTGGGCTTGTGTGTATTTCTGATAACAAAAATTAAATGGTGTCAACTTTAATGCAGTAAGCGTATCTATGTAATAGTCTTTTTTTTTTTCTCCACACTTAAGGGACACAGAAATTCTGTAACCTTTGGGTTATACTGCCGCCTGCACAAGGATTGGACATTGGCAAACAAAAAATTTAGGCCAGTCCAGGATATCCCCTCCTACTATCAGTGCATCTCGGTTTCCTTGATTGTACATCACAGGACACAGGGACTTGAATGGATGGGATGCATGTGATTGGTCACTGGCGTATCAAAGCTGTTAGGACAGCCATGAATAACCCCTCCCACTCCTAGCCTCAGTTTTTTTGTTAGTGTCCTTAGGTGATGGACATCTTCTCTATGCCCTGAAAGGTGTACATCCTTTTTTCTGCACATTTCTAATTAAGGCTCTTCTAGTAAGTGTGTGTTATGCTGCTCACAGGCACTGTGGCACCTAACAGTAAGTAACCAGATTGGTTTCTTCAGCAGAGCCCTGGCTGATGCTGGGCCAGCCTGTATTGTGTATGTACATCAATAAAATGACCACTCGTTGAAGATTTTACTTTGGTGTGCTGGTGTTATACTTTACTATTTTTATTGTGTATGGGGCACTGGATCCTGTGTGGGACACTCAAACCTTGGCACTTTGTGCAGTGTGTGTAGTTGCTGCAAGGTGCTTTACAGATCCAGGACCATGGTCCATTTCAGCGGAGCCCTGTCCTTGAAGACCACCCCCCCTTGGGGGTTATGCCATCATGAGCGAGAAGAATCGATAAGGCATATACCCTTTAAATGGATGCTTTGCCAGGTCAGCCACTGCTCTGAGGGTTGGTAAGACTAGTGCCTGCTAAGGTACCCAGGCCCTGTGCCTGTATGTGTTGTCTTGGGGAAAGGAAACGGCAAGGGGGGTGAGGGAAATCACAGTCACCTCTCTTTTGAGTCCGGCGCCATTTCCCGAGTCCATAGGCCGTCTGTGGATCCGTACGAGACATGCACAGCCTCTAGGGCTTCATTACTGTGCATGCTCCCTGCATTTGTCTTCATCTGGCATGTGCTGAGCTGGCCGCATTCTTTTATGCTGCTGCAACTTGGCATATCAACCATGGAGGCCAGATCTCTGCATTCTGCTGCACTGGGCCACCAATTTTGCCTATAGTGCTGGGACACAGGGACACTTGGGGGATACTGTTTCTGCTATTGCTTTGCACTGCTCCTTCCCTTGCCCCAGGGTTCTCTTCTGTCCTCTATCCTGCTGTCTAGAGAGGAGTACAGTAACATCACAGTATGATATTTATGGGAAAAATTCCTGAAGGTTAAAGACTTCATGCGTCCCTTAATGAATGAGAGAGCAATTAAGATTTTTGTACTCTTCGTAAAATCATTTTCTTGCAGTCCATTGAGGGGCACATGTCCCACCCCTCTGTGTTCATGATCATGCTCTTCGTACTGCTTTGCTGTAAAACTGAATCAGAAGTATAACCTGAAGGTTTAAAGACTTCTGTATCCTTTAATGGACTACAAGAAAAGGATTTTTACCATGAGTACAAAAATCCTATTATTCATAAGCTACATTTATTTTGTAACTTGGCTCCAGTTGTAAAAATGAGCCAAGTCTGACAATTGTGTTTTTTTGTATTTTTTTAGTTTGCAGAATATAGCTGCTAGCGGTTTTATTTTTTATTTTTTTAAATCATCTGTTCAACCTTACCGTTTTCCTACAGCTTCTTCTACAAATGCTATTTCAAGCACATTACCGAATACAAACATTATAACCCAGACAGTTGCCAGCATCTCAAACCAGGTAACCTTCATAACTTGGAATTTTTTTATTACTGTGGCAAGAGTACATTCAGTGTTCCTTGTATGCTAAAATATGGTAGGCAGTAGATCTAGCTGCTTAAAACCAAACAAGTGTTACTGTGTAATAGTGGATATGTCTTTTTTTCAGACTTGCTATATAAATTTGTAAAACAGATAATACCATAGAACAGGAGCCAGGTAGCCAATGCTCCTTACAAATTACAGTTGGCGCCTAACTTTTGAAGTTTATCTAGTGGTTGTCGATTGACCTGCCTTCTGGATTGGACAGACTCTCTACAAAATTCCTATTTAATTTGTCCATCCTTGCCATAGAAGTGTTGATAAATGTGTCCATGGTGGCCGTATAAATAATAACCGTTTTAATATCAGTCAGTCATAAAAAAGCACCCTGTGAAAGACCAGTACTACTACTACTTACCAGGTACACAGGCGGTGAATTAAATAGTATTTCTCCCTTGGTCCATCTATGTTTTGCTCACCCCAACCTCCCCCCCCACCAACACAAACACACAGCGTGCAGGTGCAGAACCACAACTCATTTATCAAGACTCATGAAAATAGCAAGATCATGATCATACTTTCAGAACTTAAAACCAACATAAGTACTGTATAACCACATAAATACTGTACTGACGCAGCAAGAATATGTCATCAGAGGCACACTAATCAGTACAGTATTGACACAGCCAGAAATATGTCCACTGACACAAAATTATCATTATATTGGCACACCAGCAATGTGTCCCATTCATTTTCTTTGGACCCCTCTGTTCTATTGACTCTGTTAAAGGAGAACTATGGGGTTAGGGCTTTTCCCCATAGTTCTCCTTAGGGTAACGGGAGGACACAAACTAGCGTTCTCCCGTCAACCCAAGGTCAGTATACCGCGAGCTACAGCTCGCGGTATACTGAGACGCTGAAGCGGATCCCGACAATTATGTCTGGATCCGCCCAGCTGCGTGAGTGACAGCTGGCTCTGCCTATCTAGAGGCAGAGCCAGCTGTACCCACCCCCTCCATCGTCCGTTCCGCCAGTCAGCGCTGGAGGATCGGAGCAGGGAATCCAGTCCCTCCACTGTCACGGCAGAGAGCCGTGACAGGATCGAGTAGTGAGCGAACGCCGGTATGTGTTCGCTCACTTCCCGATTTTACTGAGCTGTCCTGTGACAGTTTCATTGTCACAGGTCGGCTAGAACTATGAGGATGAGTGAAACGCACTCACCTCATAGTTCTCCTTTTAAGAAGCCTAGCTATGGAACCTCGAGTGTTCACCAAATCGTTGGCTACAATGTTAAATGCATTGAGGTTAAGAGGGATACCAATTGTGGGAAACTTGGATGACCTCCTGTTGTGGATGAAGTCTTGATTGGACCTGGAGTCCAGTCTTTCTGTCACCATTCAGGTTTTGTAGGAGTTTGAGTTTGTCTCGGGTTTCAGGCCCTTCTTGCTGATTCCATCACTTCCCCTGGAATACTTGGAGCTGATCTTGGATACTATCCAGGCCGCTGTGTTTCTTCCATCAAAAAACTATGGAAGCTAAAGCTTCAGATCTGCCTACTACATGCTGATAGGTGGTCATCTGATTTGCCAATGTATGCAAGTTTTGGTTTTAACGGTAGCATACTTTGGGGTGATTTCCTATGCACCACATTGCACCCAAATGTTGCAGCACGAGATCCCGTTACAATGGAACAAATCGTCCCTATCGTAGATCAAGGTATGTGGCAAAGTGAAGTCTTCCTTTTGTGGCTCTGCTCTCTACTGCTCCTAACTGGGAAGTCATTTCTACCTTGGTGCTTAAAATAGTACAGAGCTTCAAGCAATCGGGCGGACTCTGCTTCTCTGGAGGTATACTCTGTATGTGCGAAATCAGACAACGCCACGGCCGTGGAAATGGTGGAATAATTGTTGAAAAACCGGGAGAGTGGGCCCTGCACCGAGAACTAAGACAACAAAGTGCACAGCTCACCCCTATAATGTGTCCCCGCAATCTACACTCGGTGCACGGATGACTCTCTTCTGGAGTGATAGGCTCAGAAACTGTAGAAACGGCACATGATAATCTTCCAAAGAAATTCAAACTTTATTCAAAGTTTGAAATTCTTTGCAAGATTATATCAGGTGCTTGTTCTACAGTTTTTGAGCCTGCGCCGAAGATATCTGCCAACAATGGGGAACATCCGATGTCCATCTTCTGGCGTCACGTTTCAGACACTTGACAGGATTGTGCAAATGGCAGTGGACCCTTGGGGAGGCACGTTGGATGCATTGGTAGCTCTGTGGGATCACTACACTCTAGTTTATGTTTATCCGCTGGTAGGACTGCTGCAGTGGCTACTATGCCGGAAAAGCAGATTAGAGGATTCTGGTGATCCTGGTGGCTTCACATTGGCCTTGCAGGTCATGGAACACATACCTTTGTTCTTCATCTGGTTGTGGATGCTTTGTGGCGTTTATCACTCTGAGAAGACCTGTTGTCTCAAGGTCTCATTTACCACCCTGCTTTAGTCGCTCGCTGATGAAAGCCAAGTGCTGTGCGACGGAGTTGTTGGATGCAGCTGCTCAAGACTCGCAAGGCCACGTTTTATAGCATCTACCACTGTATGCGAAAGACGTATTTTGCATAGTGTGAATGTTAAGTGATATGCCCTCATTCTTTTCCAGTTGCCCCTCTACCAGCCTTTCTCCAGCACAGAGTGGTAAGGGCTGGCCTTAAGAGTAATTAAGAGTCAGTTGGTGGTCTTGTTCCAGTGTCCACTGGCATTGCTGCCACCTGTCCACACTTTCTTCTGTTCTGTCACTTAATTGTAAAGGGCTGGGCAAGAGGGGGGGGGTGTTAGCAGTGGTCTCACTATGGGACTACAGACAATGGCCTGTGTCAGCATAGCATTCTGTAGTCCCCAAGCTGGAACTAGGGCTGGCCACACTAGAACAAATGTGCTTAGGTTGGTCAGAAAGAAGCAGGAAGCTGGATCACCATGTATTTTATGTTTTGCTCTGTTGTCATTATGATTTGTAGGAAACAAAAGAAATATACTATACTTCTTCTAACTGGTTCTCTTTTACTTTTAAAGGAATATCCTACATATACCATCCTTGGGCAAAATCAGTACCAGCATTGTTATCCAAACCAAAACTTCACAACAGTATCCCCCCCTGGCCCAACAGAACGTAACTCTGAGACACCAGATTTTCAAGAGACCAAGACCGACACTACTTCCCCATCGCAGATACAAACGCCAATTTCTGGTATGTACCTTTTTTCAGACTTCCTTACATTTGGAGATGGTAAACAGGATTGCAATATGAACTATGCTTTTTTTAGTCCCTGTATATTAAACTCAAGAATATTTGAATGCTTTGTTGCTATTGTTACACAGAAAACCACCAGTCACTGACAAAGTATTTGATTCTCACTAGGCCTGGAACTTATGATTATTTTCATATTCTATTAGTTGGCCGATTTAAATTTCTTCAATGAATCGGATACAAATAATGTAAATACCATCCTTAATTTAAAATAAAATACACATGTCGTGTTACAAAGTTTACTTCAGAAAAAAACGACATGCACATTTGTTTGCAATTGAACTGCACTATAGCCAATATGAATATGATTTAGTCTGAGGAGATGTGGGTTACTGTGCGGGTGATTACACTGTGAGTGAGAGGCGCATTTGGAGTGTCATTGAAATGAATGGCACTGTAATGCACCTCCCGCAGCAGAATTTGTCAGACCGAAACCGAAAATGACTTTTTTTTCCCCACTTTTTTTTTTTATTATGTTTTTTTTTAATAATTGTATTGCAAGTACATAGAGCTTGAATAGCTTCAGCCAGGGAATGACAGCTGCCAAGGGCAAGATTCCACAGACCGTAGCTGAATGTAAATATAGCAGGTAGTGGGCTGGTGCAATAGCTAGCCTGCTATTGGCCATTTAAAATTGCAATAGCAGGCTGGCAATTGCACATGCCCACTGCTTGCTGTGCCCTCCTCCCAGTGTGGAGGAGAGAGCTAGGGGATCCAACCAACTAATCAATAATGAGAATAGTTGACAACTATTCTCATTATCGATTAGTTGGTTGCAGCCCTAATTCTCATTTATCTTTGGTTTACTTGTGTCAGAATTACTTTTCAATTCTTTCCTTTTAGCCCAGGCGCACTAGTCTACCCTGTTCTAGCTAGGAGTTATTTGTGAATCGGACTGAAGACTTTTTTACTAGACTGAACATGTGCCAGATTTTCACAGTTCCAGTGATGTGCAAAAGCACAATATATTGGTCATTAGCCCCAGGTGCCTGGCACTGGTACTTTAGCATTTTATCCCCTAAACTAACTACATCTATGGTGCAATGACACATATTCTGTAGATCCCCTTTCAGTTTTATTGTAACCTTTCCCCAACCCAGCAAAATATTGACTATGCAACTTGCAGCTAGTAGTCCATCTATTCCTCACAGCTGCTTGTCAAAATATTGCTACCTGCACATGCGCTTTACACTCTGTTGAACCCTTTAGGGAGTTTGTGCTCTGCCAAAACAACCCCTTACAATTACTATAAGGAAAGCATTTATTCATACCCCAAACACTTCCGTTAACACTTTAACACATGCTCTAACAATTACTCTTACCCAACACTAAATCCCTAAATTGAACCCTTTAAAATACAATTTTGGGTTTAGATATGCAAAGTGTTGTTGTGTATATCAGCCTACAAGTCCTTAGGTGAGGTGGCTTAGGCGTTAGGTCTCTTTTGTAAGGCTCCTTTTTCTTTATTTTTACCTTGTATTCCTGTAAATAACACATTTCCTGTCCTAGAGTGGCTACCGTGTTTCCCCGAAAATAAGACACTGTCTTATATTTTTTTTGGCTCAAAAAAACACAATAGGTCTTATTTTCGGGGTAGGTCTTTTCTTTTTTTAATGTACAACAATCCACACGTAATCATGTAGAAACGTCTACATGTATCCATGAACAAAAATATGGTGATCAGGGGTGCTGTACCTTTCCAAGAGCAATTTGCTAACCAATCGCTGGCCAGAATGAGCAAAGCGCACTTTCACTATCGATTCATCACAGGCGGAGTGCATTTGGTATCACTCCACCTGTGACAGGAGCCGGCGCTATAGAGGCGGCATCGGCTTATGTGGCTCTGCACCCTCCGGTGCCGCCTCGCTTCCTCTAGCGCTGGCTTCGTTGGCACCGCTGAATCTCTCCCGCGGCTCTTAAAGTTCCCCCTTATGCCACCACCGGCCCCGGGAATGGTCATAACTAGGTCTCATTTTCGGGGTAGGTCTTATATTTTAGCAATTCCTAAAAATAGTACTAGGTCTTATTTTCGGGGTAGGTCTTATTTTTTGGGAAACAGGGTATGCTCACTCTTTCCACAGTATGTTTGGACGGTGCCATGGTTGTCCCCAAGGCTGGACCTTAAACATGTCGTCCTCTCCATTTCCATTACATGGGCGGTGGGGGATTTGTAGTTTGCAGAAGGTAGATAACATTGTGCTTTCTGCCCAGCTCATGGGAAGTGACAAGGACACTTGTAAGCCGCCTCAGCTTAAAGAGGTCTTTTTCACAGATTCCCTGCTGAAAAATAATGAAAGATGATTACGTCTTTAAGATTGGTTAGCTGCGATATATAAAGTTTTTGTTCTTGAGCTTAAGCTGGCCATACAATGCCTGAATTTTGGCCAATTAATCAGTCCTGTCACCACCATCCAGCTCCACAAACTTCTAATTCGATGCAGTCATACTAGTCAGGTATTCAGACAGCCGCGAGTGCGGGCTGTCTGAATACATTAGTGGACAGGTGGAGATATCTTCATGCACACTGTTTAGCGTGGATACGGGAATCAAGTGATTTCTTTTGCAGGGCTGAATGTGAGAAATTTAGCAGTGTATGGCCAACTTTACAAATCCTTTTAACCATCTCTAGCAAAAACACAAACACCTACCCAGGGTCAATAGTGGTGGCGGATGTAGCAATAGGGGTTTACGGTTGCTGAAATGTCAGAGAATGTTTCTATATTTTAGAGTACATCAGTATATACATTTTTATTGGAAACCCTTATGTATCCGGTTTTAAGTTGATAATTGTGATTAGGGTCTCACTGCTTGTAGAAACAACAGTCACACGAGAGCTGTCGGAGCTCTATTGACATCATGAATACTCTTTTAGGCGATCCTGCTGCAGGCCAGCCTATGAGAGCGATGAGCAGCAAAGAAACAGAAGAACAAAGTAAGAAAAATATGCCAGTAAAGAACAGGGGGAAGGGTAAGAAAGCCGACTCCATGTCGCCACAGCATGGTGATCTTGAGGTAAGCCAATATGAGTATGATTCAGTCTGAGGAGATGAATGTAATAAACGTGACTGAGTATGTCATACATACACATATATATATATATACACACACCGATCCCATTTACCAATACTTTTTCTTAAAGGGACATGTGGCATTTTTTCTAAAACAACACAGACATAATTTTAGGGCAGTTTCTCACCAGGGCTGAATACATGTCCCAAAAGCAGAACAGTATTACGTTTTGGGGACGTATTCTGAGACGCATGTCCCCAAAGCAGAAAACATATATATGGTCCTGTGGCAGTGACTGCTTAGCTCTCTCCACCCCCAGTCTGGCTGTGAAATGTCCCTCAGTGTACTCACATTTGATACAAGTCACTGGACTTGTATTACATGTGATGACGTCCGTAGGGCTTGGGCTGTTGGAGTCAAGGGAAGAACAGTCTGCAGGGACCAGTCTAGCAGCCAGGCGGGATCGAGGATCAGGTGAGTATCTTTTTTTTTTTTAAATTTAGACCCTAGACCAAAATGAGCACCTAACCCTTGCAGTGTTCTTTTATTATTCTAGAAAGTCTCAAAGAACCCCAGGCTAAGGAACTAAAGACTTCTATTTCAATGGCAAATGTCAGTGCTCGTGAGTCCACCATTAGAAAACGTCTGAACAACAGTGATATGCATGGCAGAGTTGCAAGGAAAAAGCCACTACTATCCAAAAACTGCCTGTCTATATTTTCCTAAAGACCGTGTTAGTTTTATCAAAACTGGAGCAGACAAAATCTGGAGCAGTTTCCCAGGGCAACCAACCAGATTCTCTCCAGTTTAAGATTTTTAAAAAACAGAGAAAAGCTGATTGGATGCCGTGCACAGCTGCTCCAGATTTTGTCTGCTCCAGTTTTCATAAATTCCCCTCCCGTGTCGTTGTCAAAAGGCTTTGTAAATGGTTGAGAACAAGATAGACATTTTTGACTTGAGTGAAAAGTGATATGTTAAAAATGCAAACACTGCATTTAGCAGAGGCAGAATGAGCGTTTGCAATATTTGTATAGCCTGACTGGCAGACAGTGTGTACTATATTTTTGTGCAAATATTGTATCATTTCTCATTGAACATATAGGGGAGGAATAAAAACTGTTTACTTAACAACATGAATGTTTACTGAGCTTAATAAAAAAGATGAAGTTGTATTCACTGCAATCAACCAATCATGTGTTATCAAAATTCCTTCTTGTTTTTTTTGTTGTCAGAAAAAAATTGCCGTCTGGAGACGGCAACCCGCAGATGCTGCAGTGCCGTCCGTCCGTTTTTTTACTACGGGCGGACGGCAAGAGGTTAATATGCACATGATTGGCTGTTTAAAGTGAACACTGTTGTATACTGTTATTCGTTTTTTCCAAGTGAACATACACTTTCAAGGGTGAAAAGCTTTTACTCCTCTAGCAAATGAAGCCTGTAGTTTGCTAAGCACTATATAGGGTGCTAATTTGCAATTTTTACAGAAAGCCCCTTTTCTGTTTTTGATCTCGCCATGTTAGGTAGACCCTTACCCCCAACTACAAGTTTGTACTGGTACCAAGGACTACAGCTGTAGTGTAATAGATGTGACTATTGAAATGTGTCATTTCTTAATACCATTTAGTACCACTCGGTTATTCTGCTCATTGCAGTGGTTTCCTCTACTCCTCTTCTCATTTCTACCAGTATGCCTGTTATTGAATGTTATAAGGATTTTTTGCAAATATTTCTCTTTGTTTCCCCAGCGTGTGTTTTTGTGGGACTTGGATGAGACCATTATCATCTTTCACTCCCTGCTCACCGGTTCATATGCACAAAAATACGGAAAGGTACAGATTCTAGGATCCACTCTTCACGTCTGTGTTTTGTTGTCACTGTTATAAAGTGAGATAAATAAGCAAATGTTCGATTCCCTTCACATAGCTTTTAGCTGGATGTTTGTAAGACATTTTTTGCTCCCAGCTTTCCTGTGTAGATTCAGTTATCCTGCCAATTCAACTATTTTAAACCTATTTTCACAATTCAGTCCATATGAATCACAGGTTCTGTCATAAAGAATTGTACTGTGCTCTGGTATGCTCACAATCATACTGTATTGTGGTAATCCGATGTTTTGTATGTTTTCCTGTACTTTTGCTTTTTATAAGTTTCATTACACCATATCGTGCTAATGTTTAGAAACAAAAGTGAGCCATTACAAATATGTTGACACTATAGGCCACATTCTTGGTAATGGATGAAGATATAGCTAGCATAATATATTTTTTTAATTTTTTTTTTATTCTGGTTATCCTTTTTACTTAATGTTATGCATTTTTGGACACAGTGGAATGGAATGTTTGCTTTTTTTGTATTCTATATCAGTGGTGTCTCACTTTTAAAGGGTCCAGGGGCAAAATTTGATCTACAAGTCAAGTGGAGAGCTATATCTACATCAATTTTTTTTATTTTTTAATTTCTGATTGGCAATAGCCATGCACATCACAAAACTTGGAAAATACATTCTTATAACACAGATAACCCCCTCCCAGGGGCCAAATTATTTTTGTACATTTTTGCTTAAGAACTTAGCATGTTTCTAAACAGCTGGCTCCATCTCTCTCAGCTCAGCTTCCCTGAACTTCCTGTCTAGTACAAGATCACGGGTCTGCAGTCTCCAGTAGCTGTCCATCTACTAGAAGAGAAAAGGAATGAGGAATGGAGTAGAGGAGTGGCTTGCCCTGCTGTACCTCTGAGTTTGTGGAGACACGCAAGGCTTATTAGCACACAAGGCTGGCTTTATAGGACCCTGCAAGGAAAAGAAGCTACCCTAAAACAGAATAGAAGGGTCAGTGCTTGGGGAGCCAGCTGATTCTGCAGGAATCTAAAACTTTTAAACATTGAGCAAAATTAATTTATAGGTTATTTAAAGGAGAACTATGGGGTGAGTGAATTACTCATCCCCATAGTTCGAGCCGACGTGAGATATTAAAACTGTCGCACGTTGGCTCTATTGAATGGGAAGTGAGCGAAAACATAACACCGCTTACCCACTTCCTGATCATCTCCCTGCAGCGAGCTGTGACTGTTAGTCACCGCTCCCTGCAGCGCTTACTGGAGGGACGGACACGGAGGAGGCAGATCATAGCTGGCTCTGCCTCTAGATAGGCAGAGCCGGCTGTCGATCAGCCAGCTGGGTAGATCTGGACAGTATTGTCGGGATCTGTCCTGGCTGCGGCGCTCTCAGCATATAGCTGGCAGTAACATGCTATATGCCAAGTTTTGGATCACGGGAGGACGTTCTTTAGGTCCTCCTGGGACCCAATGAGAACTATGGGAAAAAACATCACCCCATAGTGCTCTAATACAGGATATTTTAATTTAGCATCCAGTCCTATACAGAAATATAGCGTATAACCTGTTATGGGTGGAAGGCGATCAACGTACCAAGGTAGCAGCACCCAAAGCAAAGTCACGCAGAAAAAGGAAGAACTTGTCATCTGAATCCAGATACTGTCCTTTGTGGCTTTGAGCTGCAAGGTAAACATGTTAACCACTTAGCCACCATGCTGCCAAAGTCTTAACTAAAACATGCAATCAAACAACTGGAAGAGTAAGAATGATAGCACAGTTATCCCATAATGGCTTTTTATCACTGAACATTATTTTCATTCATTTCATTAGCTATTCACTTTTTTATCTTATCTTTTTTTTTTGTCTCCGTCTATAATTCTTTGGATTTATTGTAAAAAAAAAAAAAAAACGCCTGATGTATTTTGTGTTATTTACATAATTTGTCTTTTTAGGACCCCACCCTCGTGGTAGGATCAGGGTTAGCCATGGAAGAAATGATCTTTGAAGTTGCAGACACACATTTATTTTTCAATGACTTGGAGGTGAGAAAAGTTCTGGAAATGTTGGTTTTCTTCACCAAAAGCAGCAACAGTGTCTGTGTTACCCTGTACCGTTTTGATCAGTTTAGTTTCTTGGAGACTAAAATAGACTTTGCTAGTTCTATTCATGTGGCTTACTGAATCATACATTCAATTTCTCATGTAACAGGCCTTGAGAGTTGGCATGGAATAAAAGACAGCAATACAAGTTTCATTACAATGCTTCTCTTCTACACTTGCCAGCACTGGCATGGCTATTAAATGTTACCTGTACCTGCCTCATTTAATTTACTTCAGGTGAATGAAAATGAGTTCAATAAAATATGCATTCCAAGTGTGTACAAGAGCCCTAAAAATAAAAAAAAAGCGTTACATGTGGTATTTAATGCTGGATGCAATGGTATAATGACCATGCATTAGGAGTTGTGCTTTTGTCAGTAAAACTCTACCCAAAAGCAATTCTGGCAAACCAAAATATTAGTCCTAAAGTAACCTGTATTTTTCTTATTAATATCCGCTGTGTATGCTGTAATTAAATGTTAACAAAACAGTTCAGCAGTTTCCATTTCTTGTAAGGCGAGGTTCACACTAATCGTATTGTTGCAGCTGATTCAGTGTGACAAAAAGCTTCACCAGAAAAATCCCATCCATTCGTATGGTCCTTGTTCATACCGGAGTGATTTGCCGCAATAAGCAAAACGCCTGTGGCTAGAAAAATCACATGAGCTTCTTTTTGGCGCATTACAGCTTGTTTTAGTCCCTGAGGCAGGTGCCAACAGAATACCGGGGACTGAAATCAGGACCTTGTCTTTGCCTAAACTTCTCCTGATCTCTAAGATCCTCTACATCTTCCAAGACCTTATGACCAATAAGTTCTGGACCAAAAAGGAGTTCCCATTTATACATAAACGGTTAAAGTGTATGCAAAATTGTTCATTGCAATTTAGGTTACCATAAAGTAACAAACTTGTTTTCGTTACACTAAAGTAATCTCTCAAAATATCTTATTTTCTGTTTCCTCATGCCTCACATGACTGCTATTCCATCTACTATCTCAGCTAGTGAGGGCAGGGGGTGGAAATGCATTCTGATGATCGACAGGTGCAGCCAACTTCACACCAGAAAGGAGCTCTTCTGCTCCTTTCTTCTTGCACTCTATGCACTCTTCTCTTCTTGTTCCCAGAGCTGTGCCTACAGCATGTCTCTGCATGGTAGCTGCTGTCGTCACTCAATGGAGTCTATGGTAGGAACAATGCATTACACCTAAACATGCAGGTCTCCATATCTATCAGAAGGTGAACTAACTGACCTTACCCTTCTGTGCCACCTTTTGCTCTTAGTAAGCTGCCATTGTAGGCAAAAACAAGGCACGAAAGTAACAATTGGGATTTTTTGTTTTTGGGTGGGTTTTGTCAAAGGTCACCTCCACTATACAGTTCTGAAAACATCCTAAAACAATTACACATTTATTCATGAACAGTATTACAAAATATGTTACATAAAACAACTTTAAGTGTAATTTATCAGTTCTGTTGCACAGCAGGGCATTACTAAACAGGAGCAATGATACAGATTGAGAGAGATGTATTATAATTGTGCAGCTTTATTCAAAAATGACTTAGCTACTCCAAAGTAGCACTGCATCAGAATAAAACCTTTCCCGAACTACTTCTTAATTGTGCTTCTGTTTGAGTAAAAATCTGTCCAATTATACATCTGTTATAGAATTGTGCAATATTGTCTCAGTTGGCTGCCAAGGATTGCAGGCGCAAGCATCGCAAATACACAAGAGCTGTTACAAACTACTGACAGGCAGCCTGATTTACATGTAATTGTTTCGCTAATTTGCTTGATAAATGTGTAATTATGTATAAAAAAAAGTTCCATGCATAACATGCAATGTTCTAGATCTAATCTACTATTGGGTGTTTTAGACCTACAAAAAATTCCCAAGACTGAAATTGAACACCGGTGTACAAAAAAACAATAAAATATATAGATATATATATCTATATCTCTAGATATAGATACACTGAGTGGCCAGATTATTATGACCACCCCATCAGTACTTCGTTGGGCCACGAGATGACTTTATTGGGCCTGCAGTGTTTGCAGTTTTATCCAGTGTAACTTTGAGCATGGAAGCATTGTCCTTGATGAGCATGATGGTTAATTTCCACTTCGTATGCCATTGCCTTGATACAGTAACATTAATCTCAAAAAAATTTGTATTTGTAGGAGTGTGATCAGGTTCATGTGGAAGATGTGTCATCTGATGACAATGGTCAAGATTTAAGGTATTATGCTGTGTAATATATGGCTTCCCTTTCGTACTTTATACGTTAGAAAAGAAAGAAATACCATAGAATACATGGTATGTGCTCCAGCCACATACGATCTACACTTATGACTGCAACTTCAAAACGCAAACAAGATTTTATTTTTATTTTTTCTCTTTGACCCATACACAAATAATTTGCATGCTGTACTTTTTCTGTCCAACGTTTTATTCTGATATGCTGTATAATATAGAATCCCATCATGGGTCCTTAAGGGGTTAAGCTGCCAGGACTCTGTTCATATTTGTAGAGCCAGCAGCTGGCTTTACAGTAGAAGCGATTTCTGGCGGTCAATAGCTTATTTAGAGTGTAAAAGTGATACTAGGGGTCTTTTGGACTCACAGCATCACCTTAAAGAGGATCTGTCACTGCCAATATGCTATCACATGGGGGGCTTGTAAGCCCCCCCTATGTGATAGTAATTAAAATAAAGATAAAAAAGTTTTACAAATATTAAAATGTAAAATTAATTTTAAAAACATTTTTAAACGCCCCAGCGTCGGGTGCGCCTACACACGAAAACGACGATCGCGCTACAGATGTTGGGTATCACCACACTAAATTCATTTCAGTACAGCGCTGCATGACGGAATAAACGTCAGTCAAAGTACCGCAGCGCTGAATACTGAAAAATGGCCTGGCCTGGAAGGGGGTCTAAACACCTGGTCTTGAAGTGGTTAAAAGGGTTTTACAGAGTGTTTTGGGGCGCTACATTTAACTAAGTACATGCTTAAGTGATAATAAGTTGCGCTAATGTCGTGCAACATAAAAATTTGCAACTACCACAGTTTTATTTTACAGGGTCTTGGCTTTCACAAAATATATAATGTTTGTGGGTTTGAAGTCAATTTCAGGCTTAAAATGTGGATTATATTTGTTAAACAAAAAGGCCTTGGTCCTTAAGGGGTTAAGATTACCAATGGCCCCATACTAACACCACAGTACCCAAAATCAAGTTACATTCTTTAATTTGTTTGTATTCTGAGAAAATTTCACAGCTATGCATGTAAGGGCCTGTGTCAACGGGCTTGGGCTTGTGTTGATGGCATCAGTTTTAAATCAGTTTGGTGTGCTTCTGAGATCAATCAGAATTCAACGACAGCTGCAGTTGACCTCCTCCTGACATGCATTTGACTTGCTCCATGGAGGATTTGCACTGTTAACTTGTATGGGACTGCAAAATCCACTTGAAAGTAACAAGAGCCCATCGCTACAGTCTCTAAAAATCTCCATATGCAAAACACATGTTTTGTGCAAGAATACAAATGAGATTATTTGAGCATAATTTGTTTCACTATATTTTAGAAGGATATAGGGAAGTGAAATATTGCAAACATTATAGAAGCATTCATTTTTTCTAGGAATTTATATTTTAAATCCATGTGGTATTTCTTAAAGCAACCTTGTCAGTAAGTTAAGCAAATTAAACTAAACCCACCTTTTAATAGAAGGTAAATTTGTGGCATTCTGGTGACCCATGTTCTAAAACTCCACTGCATTACAGATCTCTTTATTACAGAGCCTCTGCAGGTAACCAGCACTTCTGGGCGTGCAACCTGCCAGTAGGTGAAGCTAATTTAAAAGAAGGTAAATACATGCATTCTGGTGGTCCATGTCCTAAAACTTTGCCACGTTACAGATCTCCAGCACTTCTGGGTACATTAAATACCTGCTTCAATGCCACATGTTGTGGTTCCTCCCGTAGTCTGCTTTCTCACTACAGGGCATAGGAGGCAGGAGGAACTACATTGCATGGTGGAAGAGTAGGTATTGACACATCCATGAAGTGTTGAATACCTGCTGAGGCCAAAGATGTTTGACTCAGTGGGGTTTTAAGACATGGGCTGCCAGAATGGTAAGTATTTACCTTCTTTTACAGGAAAGTCTTGGTTTACTTTGCTCCACTTACTGATAAGGTTGCATTAAAACATTGTTTGTTCCCATTTGCTTTCCTTTTTTCCCCCCAGCAATTACAGCTTTGCTACCGATGGATTTAATGGGACAGCAGGAAACCGAAACCTCAGCTCCAATAGTGGTGTTCAAGGTGGGATGGACTGGATGAGAAAGTTGGCATTTCGATATAGGAGAGTCAATGAGGTTTATGAAAAATACAAGATCAATGTTGGAGGTGAGTGAACGGTGTATGATGTTTCCGTATATTACATAACAACCTTCTCATGCATTTAAATGGTAACATTTATTAATGGTATCAGAAGTGTGTATGTAATCAGCATAACCTAGCTTGACTTTTTACTTTTGACGGGTTTATATTTATGGTCGGTAAATGTGTTTCTTTATAGTTGTGGAAGGGGAACCATTAAATCAATTACATAACTCCAAAAAGCATTGTGTTTATAGATGTATGCAACCAATAAGAAAAAGCAGAAAAAAAGGATCTGGATATAATGGTGGATTGATTTTTCCTATTAGACATTGAGCAGATCATATATTCTAGAACTGTATGTTCTTAGTAAAGGCTCTTCTTTTTTTTTTTTTTTGTCACTTCACTGATGGTTATCACTTTGTTAGATTCATATTATGGAAGATAGCTTTAAAGAGACCTGTCAGCATAGAAATGTGGAAAATCCTTTCTTAATGATACATTACTGGACACGGGATCTTCTGATACATGCCTGAAACTCTGTTCTGCTGTAAATCCTGGACCTGCAAACCTGCCAAGCCCCACACAATGAGGGGGTGACCCCATTATCGGTGTTGGGGGAATGTGTGGTGGCATTTGCAGCCATTTGATCCCAGGGCATCTCAGATGCTTGGGTCCAGAACATCATGTCCAGGGGCTACAAATTAGAGTTTCCATATCTGCCTCCACCCTGCTCCATGCTATCCAGCTTGCCAATCTCCCTGCAAAGGTTGGTAGATCCCCACTTAGATCTTCAGCAGCTCCCCTCTCAGGGGTCACATTCCCTGTTCCGGAAGAGGAAGGGGTTCAATGGATTCTTTTCAAACCTGTTTACTGTTCCCAATACATTGAAAACACTCGCCCCATGCTGGTTTTAAAGATCCTCAACAGATTTGTTTGTGTTCAAAAATTCGGCATGGAATCTGACAGGTCATTGCTTCCCTTAAACCCGGGGATTTTCTGACCTCCGTGGACATTAAGGATGCCTACTTGCACATCAACGGCTTGGCTATTGAAGACCATGTCCTGAGGGACAGTGGTCTAGTAATGCCTATGCTCTTAAAGCCTAGGAAGTCGACTTCTTGTAATGTCTGCCATCACATCTGGAAGCCTACTTTGCATGGTGTGAGGCTAGGAACTTTCATCCAGTAAGTACGCTATGGGATGTATCCGGTCTTCCATCCAGTCTGGATTAGCATTTGACCTTAAGTACTAGGAATGCTGCGATACAAGCATCGGTATCGGCGGTGATACAGAGTATTTACATGAGTACTCGTGCAAATACTCCGATACAAAAAAACGAGTATCTGTGCCGTGTCCGCCATCTTCAAGGACCCGAAACCGCCGCACACAGGACCTCCATAGCGTCTTCAATGAAACAAGATGGCCACGAACTCCTCCTTCCAAGTCCTCAGTCATCTGCTCCATTCTGACCTCTTCTCCCGTTGATTGGCCGATTTGGATGATTGACAGGCTTTCTCACCAGTCAAGAGCTGTAGTAGTGACTGGTGAAGAAGCCTGTCATCAGCCAATCAGTGGGAGAAGAGGTCAGAATGGAGCAGATGACTAGGCTGTGACACGGAGTGGCTGAAGCAGACGGAGAAGACGACACAGCAGGTTAGTACTGCAGCACCATATATACCAAAAAGATAAACCAGCTAACGAGTGGCTGGTTTAAAAAGGGTTAACAGAGAGGGTCGGGACAAGTATTCCAATTACAAAAAGAGTATTAGATAAAATATCAGTTTTGGACAAACATCATATCACTAACTGGTTTTAAAAAAAAAAACTAAAAAGCATGACATACAATTATAAATCTTCAGGTATGCAGATGTGTTTGTATAATGTGCTCTTATTCATATATGCTAATCAGCTGACACCAAAGGATAATACGTTTTCTTATTTGAAAAAATGTGACCTGTCCCTTCAAGAAAAAGTATCGGTAATTGGTATCGGCGATTACCCTGGCTATTCTTTTCCAAAGACCAATTGCTTCTTCTTTGCACAGTGTGCTGCTCACATTGTGTCGTCCTGTAATTCGCCCAGTGACTTTGAGATCTCAACCTGGTTCTGTCAATTCTCTATTCTCCTGTCTACCCTCACTAACAAGGTTGTCTTCCTCGGTGCTGTCCCCTCTGCGAGGAGAGTTCTCTGAGTTAGCAACCTTATCCTGTAAAGAGCACTTCCTAGTCTTACATAGAGATAAGGTTGTTGTGAGGCATAAGGCCTCCTTTTTTCCCCCAAGGGGAAACTAGGATCATGTCCTTTCCCGTCTCTGTCCTACTGCAAAACATTTTTGCGATCTTTCTCTACACTGTGGTATGTATGAGCTGTCTTAGTCTTATCTCATGACTACAGCAAGCCTCGGGTTTGCAGTAAGTAATAAGGAGTGAATCATAGGAAAACAGAGCGAGGGGAACCTAATGCTTGCTACAAAACTGCAGCTTGCTGGGAGTGGTTATATAGGGCTTTCCTTGCAGCTTTGTTTGCCAGTGTGAATCACCTGAAGGCAGCTACATAACCCATGGTCTAAGACTCAGAGGTCAGAATTCTTTATTTCTATACTTATTCTAGGCAAGTGACTGAAAATGTAGTGAATCCATAACATCAGTATCACAGCCAGAGAGCTAGGATGTTCAGGAGAGGTTAGAAATGACCAGCCTATTTCTGCCATGAGAGGTTTCCTTTTTCTTCATGAGGCGTATGTTACTTGAAAGATTTACAGGTCAGTGTATGGCCATAGAAACTTTGGGGATTGTGTATTTCTGAAAACACCAGATGTCTGGAGCGGTTATCTTTTACCGTGTATCAAGCATGCATTAAGCCCAGGAGCCAGCACTCACTAAACAAAAACAGTTTATTGTCTCAAGCAGAACAGAGTACAAAACGTCAGCGAAAGGAGTGAGTTATTATGCTGTCAGATTCAAAAATGCTGCTTGAGGGAGTGCTTATTTTCACTAGATGCACAATAGTGTTTATAATTGGCTTTCCACAGACTGTCTTTATTTGGTTGTTGAATGTATTTGATGTTTTTTGGATTTGTGTCACAGGATTGCTCAGCCCACAGAGGCGCGACTCTCTACAGAGACTTCGAGATGATATAGAGGCATTGACCGATGGCTGGTTAGGAACGGCTATGAAATGTTTACAACTCATCCAGGCAAGGTAATTGGAAACACATTTTATGCTTTCTGTACAGAATTCACATTATTTTGAAGTTAAAATGACACTGATTTCAGGAATTGAATCTTAAAAATGTATTCATGTACCTTTTATCCATTAACGATACTGGACCTTATTCATGCATCACTTGGCTGTAGATCCTCAAATCATCTCGGAATTGGTGCTGACACTGTCCTTCCTTCTGGAGGGTGGCTACTTTTCTTCCCCATGGTCCTTGAGTGTGTTGTAAAGTAGCCACCACTCCAATCTCACTCCTGTGATGGACTAAAACTTCAATACAAATTGGTAAACTTAATGTGATATTTTAGTCCATCACAGGAGCGCGCTTGGAGCGGTGACTACTTTACAACACTCACAGAGATCATGGGGAACAAAGGTAGCCACCCTCCAGAAGGAAGGACAGTGTCAGCACCAATTCAGAGATGATTTGAGGAGCTACAACTGACTGATACACATATAAGATACATTGTTGTTAATTGTTAAGGTACTTAAATGCATTTTTAAGATTTAACTCCTGAGTTTAGTGTCACTTTAAATCTAGCAATGAGCTTCTCTTATTTGCTCCATTGTGATTTTTTTTTTTTTTATTATACTGTTGGAAGCATTTTGTTATATCTGCTAAATAAATGCAACTGTTTTATCATGTCTGAATTGCATAGCTGATTATTTAGCACACTGTTTTTATTTTAAAGGAAGAACTGTGTTAACGTTTTAATAACAACAACACAGCTGGTTCCAGCTCTGGCTAAAGTTCTGCTCTACGGATTAGGAGAAGTGTTTCCAATACAGAACATATACAGTGCCACCAAAATAGGTAACATGACACAGTGCTTGAGTCGTGATATCTTCCTCAAAGTAGGTCTTATTGTTTGTGTCTTGTCTTGTTCCACACGATATATATGACTGTACAGCTTTAAAAAGTGCCATTGGTTTTTCACCGTGTTTTTCCCCCCTAGTAATGACACCAATCTGTGCATTGCTTATGGTAAATCTATAGTGTGTAATTGACGAGCTTTTAGTAATATAGCAAGATGGTGATTAGGATAGGATTATTTTTAATGCAAATTTGAAATTGTGCCAACCTTCCATACTTTTTTTAACTTTTGTTTACAAATTAAAAGTATTCTTAACTGATGCCCATAAATTATGTGGAGTAGATACAGCTTCTATTGACAGTAGCTTCTTCCCAACATAATGCGAACTCCTGTTCATAGAAGTCACACAATGAAAATCAAAATAATTGTGTCAGACTTTCATTAAGGAATGTTTTCATACACCTGACCATTACATGTGTATGATGACATTCAGTTTGAAAGCCATGGAGGTGACCACCTTATGCAGAGGAATCCGCCTCCATTCTTTTAGGACAGCTTTCCACATGTTGGGAGTCCATATTTCAGACTTTCAGCCAAGAGAGCATTGGACGACACGACCTGGCATACAATCAACATTTCAGTTCATCCCAAAGGTGTTCAATAGGGTAGAGGTCAAGGCTGTGTGCAGGCCACTTGAGTTGCAGCACACTAAACTGTTCATGTCTTTACATAGGAGACACAGTCATGCTAGAGCAGAAAAGGGCCTTCCCTATTCTTTTTTCACAAAGCTGGAAGTGCATAGTTGTGTAAGATGCCTTTGCGGTAGCTTTAACAGTCTCCTAAAATAGAAAAGTTAACTAATTCCATTGCTTTTGAAATGGAATGTCCAAAAAATGTACATTGGTGTGATGGTCAGTCGTACACAAACTTTTGGCCATATAGTCAGGGCCGGATTTACTCTCTCTCTGCTTCCCCAATGCCAGGTTCCTCAATTCGCCCCCCCTAGATGCAGGCTGCATAGACGTGATCTTGGTGACATCGCTGAGATCACTTGTACAAATCAAGCGGCGGCTTCCCCGCTGTACATTTAGCTCCGCTTGCCCAAAGTAGGGCTAAATGTAGAAAACAACTACCCGCCCGCCACCGGAAATTACATGATCTCCGATCTGTTCCCTGTGTCCTTCAATGAACGGAGAGAAAAGGATTTTACGGTGAGTACCAAAATCCTATTTTCCCCAGTGTCGGGAGATAGGAATTTCACCCCCCTGCTGCCCCAAGGCCAGGCCTTGGTTGGCCTTGTGGGAAATTCCGGCCCTGCATATAGTGTGCACCCAGGAAAACTATGGTTTCTCATTCATCATCATGCTCTGTACATGGCAGTCATTTTTTTACCCCAATTTTTTTACTGAAGCCCTAAGAATAAGCCCTAAGAAATGTTAATCACTGCAAATGTATGAAAGCAATGCCTCCTAATCTAAAACTCCTAAAGTAAGACTGGTAGACCTAATTTACACTTACACTGTCATTTTATTAGGAACAGTTGGTTCGTGTCAGTGATGAGGCCATATTTGTCCACTCTAAACCAGTGCTTATATAGTGATAAAAAGATAACATTGGCCTTTACTTGCAGGAAAAGAGAGCTGCTTTGAAAGGATAGTGACAAGATTTGGGAAGAAAGTTACGTACGTGGTGATTGGAGATGGCAGGGATGAAGAAATGGCTGCCAAACAGGTATTTAAGCATATTTATTGGCCGTGAAAGTGCTTCCTTTTACTTTGCTGATGTTTTTGCTACGGGATGTTTTGTTTTGGAGTACATTCTTCAATAGTCACATTTTTGTGTGTGTGTGTTTTACATGCTCAGTTGTATTGTTGTTTTGGGGGGTGGGTGTGTTTTACATGCTCAGTTGTATTGTTGTTTTGGGGGGTGGGTGTGTTTTACATGCTCAGTTGTATTACTTGTTGTTTGGTATTGTAAAAATTCCATATTTTAGTTTCCTAGCTGAGGTTCTGTAAAAACACCCAGTGAACGTTTTTAAAGAAGTACTCTAGACAAAACTTTTATTAACCCTTGCAGTGTATATGTTTGTGTTTTCACTTGCATCTGCATCACTTGTTCTGCTTGATGAAGAGGATCCTGTGAGACCCCGAAACGAGTGCTATGTTTCATGCGTCAATAAATAGACGCAATTGATTTGCTATTTGGAGTGCCGGTGTCTATATATTTCTGCATGTGATTGTGACAGTTGCCATCCGTCGACAGCCTCATAACGCACTTTAAAATTTTGGAGTGCGATGGGTTCATGGACTGTAGCCCCACTTCAAGGGTCATAAAAGTTTTGCTTGGAGTTCTTCTTTAAGCATATTAAATACGAATAGAAGGGAGGGAAAAGTTTAACGGTACAATATTACCATAATTTTTATTTATAATTCTTTAAAATGCATCCATTTATTTTCCCTAACTTATTAGGTTAAAAATCCATTGCTCTCTCATAATGTACTATGGCCCATATACAATATTTTACACAAGTTTGTGTCTATAATAAAGTCATATGAGCATGCTGCATACAGAAGTTCACAGGACAAGGTCTGCTTCTTGTGTAATTACTATAATGCAAGGCTAAACCATTGTGTCCCATTTTGGGTAGGTATCCGCATGAAGATTTAACAAGTGGAGAAACGAACATGCTTCTTTAAAAGTGAAATAGATGCATCGTAATGAAGAAAGAAAATGTATTCTTTCTATAAGTTGTAATGATTGCAATAATGTGGGCTTTGTGCATTAATACTAAAAGACACTGTAACTTTAGTACAAATTGTAGACGCACCTGAGCGCAGCCCTTCTGCTCCACCACCTACCTGTCTCCCTGTTCCAGTGATGTAAACTGAGCGTCCCTGCCCTAAGCTCTAAGCTGCACTGCCTTTCTTCTATAAGAGTCCCCGCTGGATTCTCCAAATCCTGAGCATGCATGCCATGGCCCCATTCATTCCTATGGGAAGAGCTGTACTTTGAAGGCCCACCAGAGGCTGCCTTGAGTACTCCTATCCAAAAGAAAGAATGGGACCATATTGTGCATGTGCAGGATAAAGAGCGCCTGGTGAGACCAATTTAGGAAGAGTGGCTGTATGGCGTGGGGCTGCAGCGTGCAGTAAATATCACTGCAATGGACAGAGGGTAAGTATTTGACCAAGTAGGTTGCGCTCAGGGGTGGGGGCATGCCCGAAAGAATAACCTGTGTCAAAGGCACAGTTGTACTTTAAAGCTTTTCTATAGAAAGTCACTTTAGTGGCATGTGTATTTTTCTGAGTTCAGTTAAGGTTGGGCTGCTTATCTTTCACATTGGCCATCTCTGAGTTAATTCATTTTATTCTTACAGCACAACATGCCTTTCTGGAGAATCACAAACCACAATGACCTCATCTCTCTACATCAGGCACTGGAGCTGGACTTCTTGTGAAAAATTCCAGGAAAGCATGACTTAGTATACAAGCCCTCCAGATCAGCAGGTGCCTCACAAATGAGAGTCCAGGTGGAGACCAAAGGCACAAATGCTAGATCTTATAAACCTGCATCTATCTTGAAACTTTCCAAGATGAAAACGCTTTCAGTTTTGGCCTTCATGGAGGAAAAACCATTTCAACTATCCAGCCCGTCAGAATACCCTATTTAGCTTCTACATCCCACCTACCTCTCATTTTCTTGCCAGAGAGTTTCTTCGTTTTTTTGGTAGATAACTCTTTAAAGTCCCACCTACCTCCTCTTGTACAGACTGTCTTCAGTTTATTTCAAGGCCAACTTCTGGTTAGTTGTAGGCTGTTCCTCCTGTACCAGTAAATACATGTGTAATGCTATAAGCACATAAGGAGCAGCTCTGCTTATCTAAGACCAGCCATAACATGTAGCAATGAATCATAATAATGTATTGCATCTTGATGTGAATGAAGTAACCAAGACTTTTAAGTAGGGATGGATGGCTTCTGCATCAAACTTTAAATGTCCTCTCCTTTTAATCAGAGTATGAACAGCTGGGTCAGTCGGTGTACATTTTTTGATTTTTTTTTTTTTAACAGTATCCCAAGTCATAATGGCTTGCCTTCATTATGTCTCATTGCCATTCTGGAACTCTTGAAATACCTCGAGGGAGGGGAAAAAAGGCCTCCATTATTATACCTTTTGAATCTATAACTTATTAAAGCAGTTTTCCTTGATATGTTTCCCCTCTGTATTCGATCCCAAGCAGAGATACAGTCGTATTATGAGATGCAGTTTGTGGTAATGTTATGCAAGTATTCTCTTTCGTCAAACGCAGGAATAAAATATTAAACCTTTCTAATTTGATAATAAAGGCAAATGCAGCAATCTCCTCCAGTGTTATCTAAACTTGGGTCCAACGTGTCCATAACCATAATAATCTTTCCCATGTCTAAGAATTTTTTATTTATTTTTTTACAAAAAAAACGATTTCTTTTTGCAATATTTTCTGACATTTTTTTTTCTTCTTGATTTTGGGCAACAATACCCATTATAGGAAACCTTTCTCAAGAAGTGGGTTGTACTGGGGGTAGAAGGTCCCTGTTGAGAGCACTCTTGCCCAGCAATCAGACGGCTAAAGCCCTGCCATCTTAAGTCAGCCCTGTTCCCAGGAAAAGTTCCTTCGTCCCTCCCAGCCTTCCACTTCCAGATCCTATTGGGCTCACAGCTCATACATAGTGCCTTAGGGCTACAGACTCCAATTCGTTCACAGTTCCCAAGCAGAACAGGGATGATCAACCCATCCTGGATCAAAACCAATTTTTATGGGTCTGCAGGTTCCATATGGCTACGGTGTGCTCTCATTGTCTCCAACAGGGAGGTTTCTAGGTGTTGGTGGACATTAAGGATGCCTACCTGCATGTGCCATTTTTCACTTCTCACCAACGCTTTTTGTGCTTTGCTCTGTAAAAAAAATTATCATTTTCAATTTGTGGCTCTACCTTTTGACCTGTCAACAGCCGAAAGTGGACAGTGTATGTTTACCATGGTGTCAGCTCCAATTCTTGCCCTTCTATAATCCCAGGGTTTTCATGTTGTGGCCTCCTGATGGCTCCGTCTGCACAGAGCCTGATGGAAGATGTCTAAAGGTCAATTCGTATATTACAACTGTTCAGTTGGGTCCTGAAGCTCCATGAGTCTTCACTGTAACCAACCAACTGGTTAGAGTACCTTCCGGCTCCTCCTGGACACATCCCAGGGCAGGATGTTTCTGCCCCTGGATCAGTTACTCACTCTGTGCTCACCAGCGCAGGATGTTCAGTCCAAGCAACGATCCTCGGTGAGATTTGCGATTAGGGTTCTGGGGCTTATGGTAGCCTCCTTTTGAGGCAATCCCCTATGCTCAGTTTCAATCCAGGCCTCAATAAATACGCATTTTGGCAGCGTGAGACAAGCCACCTTCTTCTCTAGACTGCCCCATGTGTCTGTCAGCCAAGGTGGGGGATCTTTCTTTGATGGTGGATTCCGACTCGCAAAATCCTTCTTTCCTCTTCAGTGGACAGTTCAGGTGACAGATGCCAGCCCGTTGGGCTGGGGCAGTATTCTAGGGGTGTTGGCAGTCCAAGGGACCTAGTTGTCGAGGAAATCCAGATAGTCTATCTGGGTTTGGGAGCGATTTGCTTCTCGTTTCTGCACTCGATGCATCAACTGTAGAGGCTACTGGTCAGGGTTCAGTCCGTGGCATGCACCAACCACCAGGAGGAACCAGAAGCTGCGATGCACAGAAAGAAGCAGATCTGCTCTTGTCTGGGGTATAACTTTACGTTGCAACCTTTTCTAACATGCACATCCCAGGAGTGGACGATTGGCAGGTGGACTTTCTCAGCCGACAGTGGTTAGATCTGGAGGAATGGTCTCTACACCCCAGAGTATTTTAGAAGATCTGCCTTTTTGGGGATGTCGGACATAGATCTCTTGGCATCCAGACTAAACAACAAGCTTGGATAGGTTTGTAGTCCGATCCAGGGATCTGAAAATGTTCACAGTGGATGCGTTAGTAGCTCTGTGTGATCGGTTTTCTCTGATCTTTGCCTTCACTCCGTTGAAGATTCTTCCTCATCTGCCCCACTGGATTGAGACGGAGAGCATCCTAGTGGTCCTTGTTACTCCAAAATGGCTAAGAAAAGTGTGGCACGCTGGCGGACTCTAAAAGACCACTTCTAGACCGTGTAGACCAGGGGTAGCCAAACTCCGGCCCTCCAGCTGTGGTGGAACTACAAATCCCATGAGGCATTGTAAGATTCTCACAGCCACAGACGTGACTCCCGGAGAGAGATGCATCTTGTAGTTTCACCACAGCTGGAGGGCCGGAGTTTGGCTACCCCTGGTGTAGACCTTCCTGCTTCTTGGTCACTGGCTTTCACAGCCTGGCTGTTCCAGCGCTGGTCAGAGGTCTACCAGACTCTGTTACTCCAGCATTCTAAGTCCTGCAGGTACCATGGTACACCTTGTGGACTTCCTGCCCTACAACTTTGCCTGGTGTGATTGGTGGAAGTTTCATTCTCAGACTTATGTTGTGGGATGGGTGTTGTTTTCCACTGTGGATTGGATCAACAGTTGGCCTAGAGTACTCTCAAGGGTTAGATTTCAGCCATAGCCATCCTTTTCCAGTGGCTCTTGCCCTTGCACTCCTTGGTAATGACCTTTGTTCATGTGGCTCCTTCTAGACACACTCCAGTTCTGCCTTGGGACCTCCATATGGTTCTTTCTGATGTCCAATGATCTCCATTTCAACCTATTGGGGATATCCTGTTACTGGCTCTTAGGGGCGAGGTTATTTTCCTTGTCGCTCCACCTCTGCTAGGAGAGATTTAGAACTGGGTGCACTCTAATGCAAAGCTCTGTTCCTTGTTCTGGACAGGGATGAGGTAGTTCTCAGGCCAAAAGATTCAATTTTGCCTAAGGTGGTGTCTATCCTTCCATATTAATGAAGAAATCAGGTTGCCTTACTTTTGGCCATCTCCAAAACATCCCAAGGTGGTGACTCCACTGGTCCAAGTTTATCTTTTAGTTACAGCTTTTCTTTTTCTGACAATTAGATTCTCTTTTGCTTCAAGAAGGACCGCTCAAGGGGCTCCAAGCATGTCGTTCCACCCTTTCTAGGTGGATTAGACAGGTCATTGTGCATGCTTAATCTGTCGAGTAAATATTCTGCCTTTCCCTGTAAAGGCGCGCGCCACTAGATCTGTCAGTGGCTTTCAGGCATCTGCGTTGCAAATCTTTAATGCCACCGCCTGGTCTTCTGTTCACAAAGTTGGTGTACAGAACTCCAATAGAAATGTCACTTCCTACTTCTGTGATTGGCTGACTGATTTTCCCAGAAGTCTGCACTAACATACACGTATCATTTTTTGCATCCCTTGAAAAAGGAATTTGATCTTAAGTGAGATACTTAAGAGTTAATTACTACTAAAGGGATGCTGATACTGCACCATTCCCTCACAACACATGAAAGCCCAGCAGCTGGTAATAAACCCAGACGTCCTCCCATTCTGGAATCAGTTTGGAAAGGACACGCTGCAACAGCTTTGTTTTCAGAGCAGAAACAGGTAGGAAATTACAACTAAGTTGGTTAAAATTATTACAATGTACACAGATTACCCAGAGAGGATTTACTTTTTTATTTTATTTTCTTCTATCAACTAAAGAAAAAAATTATTTTCTTCTCCACTCTGGCCCTCCAGCTGCGGTGAAACTACAAATTCCATGATGCATCTCTCTCCAGGAGTCATTTCTGTGGCTGTGAGAATCTTGCAATGCCTCATGGGATTTGGAGTTCCACCACAGCTGGAGGGCTATAGTTTGGCTACCCCTGCTTTAAGCTGTCAATGCACCACTTAGATTTCAGTCTCTTTCACTCTCTTCACTGCTGACAAAATTCGAGCTGTGTGTGGCCCTGCTGACACCACTCTGTTCAAGAAAAGTACGTTTTTCAATCAACTTTTGTCAAAGGAACCGGGTCAAAAATCGTCAGAGAACCAATGACTATTCTGACAACTGCAGGCGGCAGCTTCTAAAACACAATAGCCTGGCATGGAATATTCCCCCATCCGTGCAGTCCGATATAGAGACAAAATGCCTAGTGTATAGCAAACGTTAGTGTTATTGTAGATAAGAAGTTCTATTCTATACTTTGTCATGTTTATAATGCTACTAAAATGATGTTTCTGTTTTAAAGTTTTATGAAGTTATTTGCAAATTACATTAGGCATTTTGTTTTTGGTGTTACGTGTTTCTGCAAAGGGGCTGAAAACCAAAAAGTTTGATTGTTTAAAAAAAATGGTTTTAAAACAAAAAAAGCCCCCCAACTATTTTGTTAATCTAGTTTTGTACAACCATGACAGAGAGAGATGTAAAATACATGTATTATTTGATTTATTATGCAAAAGGTTAACATTTTACAACAGTTCCTTTTTTAAAAGTGTTTGATTTCATAAAAATACTCTCATGCCAAGCAGATGGCTGTATAGAGCTATTGTGTAAAATACATAACAATTGTTTCATGGATTTGGGTATAGCCCAGTGTGGTAGGTCGAATCACCTTCCTGGTAAACAGATCTGTTTAGAACTCAGTGGGAGAAGTCTCCCTGCCATAGTTTCTGTTCCTGCACACAGGGAGAGTGTTACATTGGAAAGTCCAGTACAAATATATCTCGAGTCCCTGGAGAAAAAAAAAGAAACTGGATGCATGGACAATACAACAGCTTATTACAGAATATTGTGTTAAAAAAAAAAAAAAAGCGCTACTGCTCTAGGCCTTGCTCTGTATGATGGGCAGTTCTGAACGTGCAAAGCGCCAAATATTCCCAGAGAGTGTCAGAGCTTGCCTTTTACTTCCTCACTGCCACACATTCTTGGCAGCCCAGTCACTATGACTGGCTGCCTTGCTTACTAATAGGAATGTATGAGCAAGCTATGTAACATCAAGGAAGTGGCAAAGCTTTGCTGGTTCAGAACATCCCAGCCTATGGCCATGCAGTAAGCAAATAAAACCATTGCAGATGTGTGTAGCAGCTCTAGGCACAATGGAGTGTATACATATTACCTGGACAAAGCAATGCTACTGCTTAGTCTCCAAAACATAAAAAAATAAATATAGCATTTGGCTGGCCTTGCCCTTTAGGAATATGTACATTTTGGTTACATAACAAAACCTGTAAAAATTACAAAGGCAGGTCTTTTTTTTTGCCCACATATGAACAGCTTGTGAGAGATGTGACATCCACCTAAATGGAAAGCCCACTTCAGGAGTCATAAATAAGTGCCAATAGCTGCATTCATTACAACAATCTATATTGTGTACAATGACTTAGAAGCAGCTGGCCACTTGTATACCTTGGAGAGACATTTTCCATCTTGTGCAGTGTACATGTGGCCTTAATACAGAATGAATGCTACCTTTTAACATCAGACAAAATCACAAATCCAAATGTGTAACTAAAAGACATGTACAGTAGTACTGCAGCATATTTTTAAGGCACCTTCAAAAGCAGGGACTACCTCCGTTCCTAATAAGCTTAAGTTATAGCAGCAACTATTGGTATTTGTGTAAAGGACAAAACTGCAAATCCGAGTCTTTAGTTTGTGGGGGTATCATAGCAGTCCTTCCAGCACGGGCCTTACTTCTAGGACCTAGGTCTATTTTAATCTAAAATAGGAGATAATCTTAATGTAAAGAGTCATTTTGGATGTCACTTTCATAATTTGCTCACCTGCTATGACATTTTAAGAACTAAATTTAATATAGTTTTGTATATTCTTCCTCAAGAATCTGTTTCTTGAGGAAGAATATACAAAACAAAGCACAATTAGCATAATTGAGACATGACTAGTGAATGATATCAATTACAACATAAGCCAGCTACAGACTGAATTGTTTGATGAGATCAACCACAGGACTGGTAATGGGATTAAAGCAGTGATGGCTGTGCTGCCCTATAAAGTAGGGAGCACAGCATGCAACAAGCAAATATGGCTTTATATTATAACATATTTTAGACAGTCTCGCATATGCATGCAATCTCAACAAGCCTTACCAACACTTCATACCAGAGGGGAAAACATTCTTTATCAGCTGAAAATGTTAAACCCAGACAACAGACTTTTCTAGCAAAGGAAACCTCCAACCTCTCAGAGCCTCCAATCTGATTCTGCAAAACTTGCAGCCACAATATGTGAACCACCCTGCCCACCTAAATAATAACATTGAAAGACAGTGGGGAAAAAAAAACTTCAAATGATCCGATTTCCATTTACAAATGCACCATATGGATCTACTTTGTATATATTAAATATGTAAACAAACTTTTAAAATATTTGACACACTGCTTAATATTTACTTATTTGTTTGAAGAACACTGATAAAGGATTACACCCGGACAATGTGAGTTAAAATGTTGGAAAAGGACACTGATCATTAAACCAGAGAAACTGAATTTGTTTGTCAGCTCTAGACATCAAAGACAAAAATGTTTCACTTGCATGAAATATCTGAAGGTCAAGGTTAACCTTGCAAATATTAGGATAATCTTTAGGGATCATGTCTACTGTACTGTATGATGATAAAGAGCACATAAAAATCAGATTTTAGTTCTAGGATGCTGGAGGGATTAACTACTAGTTAAGTGCTAGTTCCTTACGTCTCGAACTCCCTGCTGGAGTTCCTTGCAGAAATAATAATCTGCCGCTGTCCCAGTCTTATTTTCCATATTGTAAAAGAGATGACTAATCCAACAGGAAGAGAGAGACCCCTTGTCTTGATGACAACTACTTTACCCTCTGCCTGCCTTTTCGTGGGCACAGCTTTAATCGATCAGTTCCTCTTCAAGACCTTAGTGAATGCCTGTACATTAGTTTTTAGCAGATGCAGAGGTGCGCACCTACGTCAACACCTTACTACAAATGGCCTATGAATACACACAGACCCTGCAATGTTTCTGCACACTTCATCTTTTCTAGGTGTCTCTTGAGTACATACTCCATACTCTTAATGAGTCCAGAGATTTGATTTCTGAGCTTATGCTGCTCTATAGAAGCACATATTTAAGCATCCGAGGTAAGATTAATAACGTAGGTCACATGCTGTAGTGTTTTAATGAAATCTCAGGCACAAATAACGCTAGCAATTTTGCCGTGCTAAGTGGACCATTCGTTCATTTTGTTTCCAAGACTTTATCTTTTCTGTTGGTGTAAAGATCCTGTACGTTGCATCTCTAATGCCATCAGGTTGATCATAGTACTTTTCTTTGGTCACATTGGGGTGGACCCACTTGTAATAAACCACCCTTAAGAGGAGACCTAGAACGGTAAATAGTACAGTTATCCCAATAACGGCACTTTCATACTGATCCAAGATGGATGGAACCCTCAGATACATCCACGACAAAAGAAGTAACGCAGAATCTATGGTAATAAACACATGGTAGATAATACATCTGTAGACTGTTCTTCCATCAGCTATGTTAAACCATGAGAAGTAGAGTATAGCAGCCACCGTTGCCCTGTAGAAAGGTTCCAGGCATCTACTCTTCATAAAGTCTGTTTTCTGCAGACACACCCATAAGAAGAAGCCAAGCCACACACCAACAAAATGCAGAACAGTCATCCAATGAAAAGTGAGAGTAAAAAGAGTGATGCACATGATACGTGATGAGATCAGGAAAAAATTCCACACAAAGTAAATGATTGAAGATGAAAAGTTCAACTTTTCTTTGTCTTTTAGAAACAGTCTTAGTGATTGGTGGTAATCCAGGATTGCCCAGCTAATGCATATGAATGAAATGCCTATGCTGAAATCTGAAAAATATAAAATAAGGTTAGCTTGTATTTTTCAGCTTACGGGAATAGAAATCAGAGTAAAAAATGTTTTTGAAACTAGAAAAACTATGTATGCAACATTGGGAGCACTGAAAGTAAACATTCTAACTTTTACTACGCAAAACATCACTTGGTTTTAAAAGGAAACGGGCCAAAACTTGAAATATATTACTGCCTCTCTCTGTTCCCTCTCTGGGATGTCTTACAGCAGTAGGTATGATGACCTCCTCAGCACTGCTTTCTACATCTTTACATTGAGTGTAGGGTGCCCCAAGCTCACAGCATGTCCTTGTTTTTCCGGGTTTGATCATGCTGGACATTTTGGGACTATGCCCCTTCATTAAACTCTGATAAAACTATTATGTTAGGGCTGCCTAGAGATTCTGCTAATCTGTGCAGGGACACAGGAAGGCTGGAAGTGATTAAGGGAGGAGGCTGAAAGCAAAACCTTAGCTTTTAGACCTTGAAAACAGCCTGGCCCCAGCAAAGCTGACTCCGGCTGTTGTAATGGCGGGCATGAACAAACTGCATCAATAAGGGTAGCAATGGTATCCTTAAGTTTTGAGAGAAAAATAAATAAAAGTTGGGGTTTGCCCTTCAGTTATATTCAGGGGCAATCAAGTCCAACGTTTGGATTTTTCCTTAAGCCTTAGATCGCAATGGAAGTAAATTACGTTTGGGTTCTATATTGATACTTTATTGTAATACAGGCCTGTTGATTTCTATTTCTCTCAAACCAAATTAAAAAACAAGTTAACATTACAAAATGGTTTACATTTACATTACAAAGAAAAATGAGTGGAATAAAAGTAGTGATAAACTCCTACTAGGCCAAATCCATGTCCTGTGCTATATTTTCATCGTGAGCAGTAGCCTCCACTCTAAAAAGCTATCTGGCTGACCTTGCCTCTCAATATAGAATGTCTTCTTTGTTCTAAACAATAACTAGGCTTTACTCCCACAATTTTTTTTTAGAAAAATCTACTCTAGGAAGAAGATAGACTTCTTGAACCCTGTAGCCACCTCCATTTTTTATCAGTGGTCGTCATGGAGGATTACAACTAGTGAAAACCACATACTTCCCCTCCCCACAGGTGGATATTGCAGGCGAAGGTAATGAGGGGACATGGTTAGAACCTCAATGGATGTCTAAATCCAATCCCTGTCTGAGACTCCCTCCCATGCCAGGAGTTACTTCTGGTCCTGTCCTATTTAGAAAGAGATAGGAAAACAGGTGTTTTTATAGAGTGTGAAAAGTAAAGGGTCCCTGAACTCATTCTGCCCTGTCATATCAATAGGACTATTATTTGCATCTAGTGATAAATGAATTCACTTCTTTAAAATGAATTAAAGCTGAAGTTTAATCTGCTCATCTGCCTTTTTTTGGTTTCTCATTTTCCCCCACATCAAGATCATGACATTTTAAAGTAAAACCTTTCTGCTTTCATTACATATCCTTTATGAGAGGCAGTGATTTTATCACTAGGTCTCTGTGCTTCTCTTTGTGGTACAGAAGAATCTTGGCAGGTGGGAGGGACCGGAAAGGAGGCTGTACAAAGCTTCATGAAAACATAAGAGCGCCCTAAGTTAATAATCCTCCCAAGATCCTTCAGCCCTGATGCAAGCCGGGGGCTGGCCCTTAAAAGGGGTTGTGTGAATATCAATATTCCTTGAGGAGTGTGTCAGTCTGGAGGAATGGGCATCCCTGGGCAGGCTGCATTTGCAAGCAGACTCCCCTCAGTAATGCCAACATGTGATGCTGAGCCTTGATGTGAAAGAACTGAAATCCAATGAATGAAAGTGGGGAGGCAAAAGCTAGATGATGCTGAACATCTTCCACCTATGAAATGAAGCAAGCTCTATGTGACTTGCTTTGAGAAGCTCACAGTGTGCAGTGAAATCGGAGTAAGCACTTTCAGTACAGGAGAGGTGCTCGTATAACTGTGCATGACTGAAGGGAAGGCTGGAATTCAACGTTCAAGTGTTTGTTTAAAAATGAAGCCTCTCTTGTGTGTGCTAGTAAGCTGCATATGCCAAAAACTCCCTCCTCCCTTTCCAAGCTTGTAGATGGATATCTGCTGGAGATTGTGCTGCCCCTTGTAATCTTGAATTGCACAGGAAGTTCAGGGTAGTGGAGCTCAGGGACTTGGAAGAAGCTTTTTAGAAACATGACTTGTAAGTGCTTGGATAAAAATGTAAAGAACTACTTTTGCTGGGTATCCCAATCCTAAGCCCAGATGATGGGGAAGTGTTGTTGCCACCACAAAACAATTTTTTTGTTTGATCAAATTGTGAACAATTATAGATTACTTTAGGACTCTTTTACCCTTTGGTTTGATGCCCATACTTTTCCAAACCTATGTATTGTACAGTCAATTTGGAAGTTTACAGCTATGACTATACTGACCATGTGATGTTAGTCATAAAAGTTTGACAAAAGCCCACTCAGTCATCACTTCTCGAGCGCAATCAAGTCATATATGCACATGATGAATCCATCAGCTATGTCATGAGATACTTTATGGTCTTTGGTACATTGTAATGTATTCTTTGCTATTATTATGGAGTGTTCCAACAAATAAACATTACCAGGGCTATTCACAGAAGGGTGAGAAGTTTGGAGAAGACAGGAGAAGGAACCAATCTAGGACAACATAGCTGAACTGGAAAGTGAGCTGAATTGGAGAATTTTTCCAAATCAGCTAAATTGTGCTAGATTGTTCACTTCTCCTGCTTTCTCCAAACTCTTCACCCTTTTGTGAATAACCTTGTTGTGCATTACTTACACTGAAAGAGATATATGGTTTCCCGTTGTATTATAACATATAAAACAAGGATGAGTTGAGGAGTGTTCTCCAGGAAGGTCTCTATAAGCCGCATCATGCTAAGATCATGTGTTAGAAAATAGGCATATTCCTGGTACAGGTTGAACTTTGAGCTACTTTCACTGCTTCTGTATGCAGCTATTCCCACTTCCAACGAATGTAAACACCTGTGGAGATAAGACATTGCATGTAAACCCATTATTAAAAGTCACATACATTACAGGGCAAGTTGTTCATTTAAGCCTGTACAGTATAGCCTTTGCCTTCTTGTACAGTGTAACACAGTACTTGTACCAGTTGTAATGGTGTGATTGGGGCTTCCTGTTTTGGCTCATGCAACTGCCTCCATTGTATCTGAGTAGTCAAACCCTTCTGTGCAATACCATAGTAGGACTACAGCTATACATGCCGACATACACCTACAGTATATCTCTCCTGTACATGCCCTCCACAGTGCTCACTACTCATTGACTGACAGTGCTCCGCCTCCCACCTACAATAGTTTGAAGTGTGGCAAGGGTTACTGGGAGTTGCACTCTGAATACATCAGTGGGAATGACAGTTAATGATTTCCTCAGGCTGCAGAGAAAAAGAGAAGGTAGCGGTCACTTGATCACCGACAACACACTGCATGCCATTGTAACACTGCATAATTACGGGTTGTTTTTATTTTTAATAAGACCAGTTAAAAGCAGCTGAATATGATTTATTATACCCCTCCGGAATTGTAGGGCAAATAAGAAGGATAAACTGTATGAAATAAAACAGAGCTATGAAATGGTCCGTCTATATTGATAGACTACGTAGACGACCAGCTGAAAGTGTATTTCCACTTTTGCAGCCAAATAGGGATAACACCTCATTTAGATTTGTTACAAGTTTCTCTTTCACATTGCAGAACTTCATTTGGTTTTTTAATTGCCGCTTCCACAATACGTGTTCTATTCTGAAAGGTAAGTTGTCCTCTGTATGGAGTTTTGACCTGGAATACAAGTGGGGCTGGGCGGGGTATTGTTAACAGAATTAGCTCTGTCTATACTGTGGTGGCAGACCCTGTTATCAGTTGTAAACTAGATGTGAACACTGTCTGCCCTTACAAAGGGTTAAGAGTTTTCATTTTCACTTTCAGAATAGCACATGTATGACCACAGAGGTACACTGACACATAAGAGTTACAGGAAATGAAAACGCCCATGAACATTGAAGACTAGTCATGAATGTACCAAACAATACAAGACAAATGATCTATTCTTGATTACTGGTTTCCCCCCTCAGGAAACTCAGAGAGGAGACAGCTGCCAATATTACCATGTACTGAGAGAAATACAGGGGATGCTTCTGCTTTTTTTTACTCATTGGAGATGACAGGTTCTCTTTAAAGTGACAGAGGTCTATTAGACCCCACTTCAATAGCTTTAGCTGGGGAATGACAGCTGCCTGCCAAGGCAGCTGAAAGTAAACATAGCAGGCAGTGGCTGGAAGCAATAGACAGCCTCCTATTGACTATTTTAAATTGCAGAGGAGCGAGCTTGGAGCGGTGACTACTTTACAACATACACGGGGACCATGGGGAACAAAAGTAGCCACCCTCCAGAAGGAAGGACAGTGTCAGCACCAATTCAGACATAATTTGAGGATCTACAGCCGAGTGATGCACAAATAGGATACATTTTTGTTATTAGGGTACTTGAATGCATTTTTAGGCGTCATTCACACACGAATCGGCCTGCACGTACAGTTCCGTGCTGCGTGCGGGGCCGTACCAAGCAGCTGCCGGGAAGGACAGGTGCTGCGTGTGATTAGAACGCAGCCCCCGTCTTCTTGGTCTCTCTATTGGTCTTTAAATGTAATCAGTGACTATGTGCCTATATGTGCATTGCTATGAAGTATTCACTGTAGGTATACTGGGTAGCAGCCACCCAACTAAAGGTGCAGTACCCATGTGTTTAGCACATGCTAACGCACAGCACAATGTACCACACACTAGGTGCTGGTATTGCGTTATCACATACTGCACTGCAAAGCACGCCCGCTGGGAGGTGGATTGGGGTGCCATTCAAATGAATTGCTACTCCCAGCGCACCTAACATGTGGTGCATTGTGATGTGCGATAGAGAAAAAAAATAAACTGACAGGGGTTTTACCTATTTCCTTAAAGCATATCTAAAGCCAAAACTTTGTTATTTCTTTAACTGTTAGGAGGGAGGGGCAATGAAAATAAAGGTTTAAGTAAACATTTACTGATCTCCTCCTGAAAATGTTAGTTGTGTGGCTGCTATTCTGAACTTCTGTCACTGGCGGAACTACCAGGGTCGCAGCGGTCGACCGGGCCCTGGCGTTCCGCCCGTTGGGGGGGGGCAGAGAGGAAGCAGAGGGCCCGAAAGCTTCCTCATGCTGTCCCCCCCTCCAGATAGCGCCGCTCTCTCGCCCGCCGCTCTGCATGTACGATTGGCTGTGCGGGGATAGAGAGGCACCTCTGTCTGTCACTTGTCTGCCTGGCGGGGCCGCTGCCGACACAGCAGGCAGCACATTCTTCAGCTGGGTCTGGGAATCATAATCATCATACAGCAATGCAGAATAGCTCCAACTATGCAGGACTACAAGTCACATAGATGGAATTAGCAAAATGCTTGTAACTGTATATTTACCAGGCCACAAAGGAGCAAATAACTTCTGTTCATTTTCGTGTTTACATACACCTATAAGATTAACTTCACCCCGACGTGTTTTTTCCCCCCACATATCCACTCTTACCTTTTTCACTGCGGTTAATCACAATAAACATACTCACATACCCGGAGAATCCAGCGCTGCTCTGTTGTAATCCACCATTCCACCACCGCATGCTGGGTCCCACACCGCCATATTCCTTCCTTATGTCATCAGGAGCCGGCTGTCTTCTACTAGTTCTTGCAGCTTGGCCCCCTGATGACATACCACCTTCCTCCTTCAGCTGCTGTGAAGAAGCTGATGTATTCCGGGATATGTAACATGGATATCTCAAGGGGCTTCAGGAGCAGATTCTAGGTGAGAATGGAGGCAGAGGACAGGCTGTGGTATGTGCTAAATAAAAATAGTTGGCTTTTTTACATGGCAGTGAATGGTGAAGGTGGGGTGCAATGATCTTTTATTGCGCATATTTATCAGGTAACGATTCTGAAATTCACTGCAGGCCAATCTTCCTGGTGCATATGTTGTAAATGACAGCGATTGATTCATGGCCAGAGGACAATTTGGTGAAAGTTACATTCCCTGCTTTATAGACCTCTTAGTGTTACGGGGATAGATTTATAGTGTTTGTCTGAGGATAAGCAGTAATACTTGGGGAAGCATCGATTTCATGGCACCAACAATGACTGTAGCAGTTTGTACTGCATTTGAAGTTTTTCATTTTGGCATGTGTTAGGTCTCGTTCACACCTAGGCGTATTGCATATGCGCGTCTGTCGTGCGTTTTTTTTACCGCGATTCGCTGTCGTATTGCATATGCGCGTCTGTCGCACGTTTTTTTACCGCGCACGTTTCCCAAGGCTACTTGGCTGTATCCCAATGGAAACGCGCAACAAAACGGCCCAAAGTAGTACCTGTACCTTTTCAGGCGTGGGCCGTTTTGTAGCGCGTTAGGGACGGGCGGAAATACGCCAAGGTGGGAACGAGACCATTGAATACAATGGGATTTATATTTTTGAGCGTTTTGTAGAGTGTTCGTCGAGCGTAGAACGCGCTACAAAACGCTCAGGTGTGAACGAGGGCTTAGTGTCAGTCTTGTAGAACTGTAAAACATGTTACACTGCAATAGGAGGCTACATAGTATGCAGCTAAATACTTTGTAGATCTCATCATGGAATGTTTTATCTGTCCAATTAAGGAATATAAATATATAATCAGTGACTTCCCAATACTCCATCACATGGGTACATTTGCTGTATCACAGGGAGTAGCCACAAGGAAGAATAGTACTGTGATTTATCATCATTAATATTACACTGTAATCTCATAAAAGGCCAAGCCACAAAAAGCACTTAAAGTGAACACTACTCAATGTGAAATGTCCTACATTAAAGCTGCCCAGTATCACATATATTGGAAAGAACAGCTTCTTCGGTGTCCCTCCCTGATTTAGTTTCACTTACTGAGGCTGGATTCACACTGTTGTGTAGCGGTTGTGCATTGATTCTTAATGGCACCCCAACGCACCTTGCCAGCGGATCTGTATTGCAGCACAGCAACATACTTTGTAAATACTACAGTGTGTTGTGGTGCATTGCGGGACAAAAGTTAGTACATGCCAATATTTTGCTGCGTTTTGGTCATGTAAATGAATGAGCTGCATTAACACAACACATGTTAACGTGCAGTATAACACGCATCACAACAGTGTGACCTCAGCCTTACTGGGGCCTGATTTTCCCTGACTTGATGACAAAGCTCCACCAAGTGCCATTCCACTGTACAGTGAGAGTGTCTTTACTGGCCACTGAAACAAACAATCTCACTGGACACTGGAAAGCTTAGCCATGACGTTTGAGGAAGTCGGGCCCCAGTAACAAAGTAAAGTGAAATCAGAGAGGGGCACACAAAAAAAAGAAGGTTATCTGGGTTAAAGCAGGCATCCCAAGTGCAAACCTAAATTAAAACGTTAAAATAAAGAAGCACAGGTTTGGTTGAACTGCTGCCTATACCCACCTTCCGTACACAGATCCCCTCCTGGTTGAAGCAGTACGGATCAGATGCCACCACTGTGCCATCCAGTTTTTTCCTCCATCACAAAATGACCATGTTGGTGGAATGTAAATGGCCATGTGTCTAATTACGTCAGATTACCCCGATCCAGCACGATCAGTTCCAGTGAAACGGAACTCTGTTCCATTTGTTTTTCCAGACCTGGACGGAGCTGGGGGCAACCACATGTAAACAGACACCCATCCGTTTAGATCCGGCTGCCCATAGACTTACAATGGGCTTCCAATCAGATGCACCAGGAAAACTAACAGACGGATCTGATTAGTGCGCCTGCCTGAAAGCGACCTTAGTAGTACGAACAGGCAATCGCCGACACAATGTAGGAGGTCACACAATCTTTATTGTGGGAGTTATTTCACTCCCAGTGGCCAAATGTAGTGGCTAGAGACCAAACAAAAGGTCTGGGTCAAGGGCAGCAGTTTAGTGAACTTTTTGCACAGATAACGTTTTTTCGATATCGAGTACCGATATATATTTTTTCCGGTACTCACCGATACCAAGTACCGGGGCCGTGTGCGCAGATTATCAGGAAGACGGGCGGCAGATCATGTCACGCCACCCGGCTTCCCGATTGCCTGGGAAGCCGGTGTTCTAGCGAAAGAACGCCAGCTTACCCTGCTGAAGCTGCCTGGCTTTCTGACCAATCAGGAAGCTGGGCAGCGAGCCATGAGGTGCCGTCCGGCTTCCAGGTTGGTTAGGAAGCCAGGCTGCTTAGCAACAAGTGAAGACAGCTTCCTAGTCAATCAGGAAGCACGTCATGACCCACCTCCCGGCTTCCTGATTGACTAGGAAGCTGATTTCACTTGTTGCTGGGCAGTGAGGTTTCCTGAACAATCAGGAAGCCGGCATGTGAGTCATAACGTGCCACCCGGCTTCCTGATTGGTTAGGAAGCCAGGCTGCCTACCAAGAAGTTAAGCCAGGAGGGAGGTCATAACCCACCACCTGGCTTCCTGATTGGTAAGGAAGCCGGCTCCATGCTCCCTCGGCACTGCCAATCAGAGGGAGATCTTCCTCTGACTGAAAGCTCCTGTATAAGGGGGTAAGTATCGGAGCATTTGGGCAAGCCCGAGTACTCGCCCAAATACCCGTAATCGGCACATCCCTAGTAAAGGCAAAACTTTTTCTGTAGATTAGGATAGTGTTGTAAAAGGTTAGAACCTCCGTCCGTTATTTATTTCTGTCCATTTCTACATTAGGTAGATCACTCTCTCTAATTGTCCGGATCATTAAGTCCCCATTCACACATAGGCGTTCTGTGAACACGCATCAAACAGGTGCTTTGACGCATGCACATGGAACATGTCAAAAATGTGCAAAGCGCTTGGGGTGCCATTACTTGTTATTGGTACCCCAAGCGTGGCCGAGACAGTGTGCACAGACGCACAGGATACCTGAATAGAATCTGCTACATGAGCTACTTTCCTGCGTTTGTCACACGTGCAGCACCAACTTAAATCAATGGGCGACGTGTGCCAAACGCAGGAAAAACATGTGAGCACGACGCACGTTCTCGGTACACCTTGGGGGGAACGGGGACTAATGGTCACTGGGAATAAAAGTGAGGGGAAAATAGAGAATTTTCAGTTGCCACCAGAACATAAAGAGGGGAAATCCTCCTATGGAGACATTTGTTACCGTGACAACTAAGAGGAGATTTCCCCTCACATTGTAAAGATATCCTCTCACTTCCTGTTGAGCGACAGTTCAGGAAGTGAAGGCAAATCTCCCTGAGACGCAGCAAGTAAAAAAAAAAAAGCGAAGTTAAGTGATAGAAGTTACAAAATCAGGACCATAGACAGTGCCGCTTACCTGAATGGGTACCCAAAGTGCAGTATGTGAAGGATGGTAAGACAGGAACGCGTCTGCCAAATCTTGGAGGTATAAAAATCGCTAAGAAAGGGTGTATACTCCGCGTCCTGACCATTGTTGTAGATGACAATGGCTTTTTCTTGGTGTGCTGGACTACTTGTGACATCCTGGGTGACAGCTATGGGACTTTCCTGCAGGGCTGCCGTGTCCCCATTAGTCCCTCTGTGACAAGAGGCGCTATCTTCTGACAGCAGCTTTGTGTCCGCATAGACCGCCGCATCCACATCGCACCTCTCCGGGCCCATAGACGAGGCATTGGAACACAAGTCAGCGCACTTTATACCATTCTGTTGTGTGTGCTTCTGTTCTGCAGCACCAGCTTCAGCCCCCCACTCCCGCCAGTCCGCCCAGTACCATCCACAGCTGAGGAGCTGCAGCACACATGAGGACAGGAGATACAGGCCGAAGTGCACGACAGCAAGCACCGTGTCCCCGCCCTTATAGTACTTCACGGCGCTCCACACGTCGGAGCCAAGGTCCCCCAAGAAGGCCACCGTCCCCCACAGTGCAAATACCAGGTCCAGCAACCGGTAGTGGGGCGGCAGGCAGCTCGGCATCCCGCACTCCGGGCTGCCTGGAGTGGTTGCGGCTGTCAGCCTGGACGGGGGCGGAGACAGTGCCTGAGGCGGTAGATTAGAGGCCCAGACAGCCTATTAGCATCTGTCAGGCGGGTATTGACCCTTCTAAGGAGTAAATAACAAACAACATAGACTGATGCCGCTGCTTCGTTTCACAATAAGCAGTGACTGGTCATTCCGGTGGTCATTGCGATGCATTGGTCACATGGATGTGCTATATATACATACCTATATTTTAATTAAAAAAAACAAAAACGACGGGAATGTATCAAAAGTGGAACAGAAAGAATCTGGAACAGCTGTGCATGGCAACCAATCGGCTTCTCTCTTTCATTTTCAAAGCTTAACTAAACAACCTGAAGACAGAAGCTGATTGGTTACTGTGGACAGCTGCTCCAGATCTTATCTGCTCCAGTTTCGATAAATGACTCCTACCGTATTTGCATACACATCTCAAGTGCACTTTTGCTGACAGGACACCCAGATCTCTTAACTGTCCCTAATTTGGAGAGACATAGGAGTTGATTGACTAAAAGCAAATAAAACATTTTTTTCTTTTAATACTCACCTGATCCATCGACAAGCCCAGCTTCCCGTCTCCCCCGCTGTCAGAAGCTGCCTACAGAGCGTGCTGGTTACTACTTAAACCGGCGCGCGCTGTGTGCAGCTCCTGAGAAGATACGCTATTAGCGTAGCGGGAGTGATGCAAAACGCGCAGCCGGCTTCCTCGCTATGCTAATAGCGTATCTTCTCAGAAGCTGCACACAGCGCACCGGTTTAAGTAGTAAAAAGCACACGCTGTATGCAGTTTTGACAGCATGGGAGATGGGAGGCTGTGCTTGTCGGTGGATCCAGGGATCAAGTGAGTATTAAAAAAGAAATGTTTTATTTTATGTTCCCTTGACATAATTTGTCAGGGGATGGTCTCCTCAATCCGGGGACTGCCCCAAAAAATCGGGGATAATTGTAGGGCTGCAACAACTAATCGACTAAGTCGATTATAATCCATGATTGAAAAAGTTGCCAACGTTTTCAATCATGGATTATCGGCATTCGATTAGTTGTCCCTGTTCACGGCTCCACACATGCTGCCTGCCGCACACCTTCTCCTCGCCTCACGCCTGCCGCTGCCAGACCCGCCCGCCTGTATCCACGCTCCACACGCCGCACCTCACTCAGCGCCCGCCCACATCCACGATCGACACGGGGAGAAGAAGAAGTAAGGAGGAGCAGGCGTGGGGGGATGACCACCGCCGCCGACACACAGGCCTGATCTCAGAAACAAGTTGCTGGAAGACTGCTCAGGTAAGCCTGCACTTTCCCCCACATGGTGCTCTATAATGTATTGCTGGGATGGTGGGATTTGTATTCCTCTATACCTGAGGGTACATTGTGCTGTATATTATACCATCACCTATAGAGAACTACAAATCCCAGCAAAACATTATACACTATTTGTATGGGATTTGTTGTACTCCTCTATTGCTGATGGTACATTGTGCTGTGCTGTATATTATACAGAGCAATGTACCATCAGCAATAGAGGAATACAAATCCCAGCAATACATTATACACTGCATGTATAATGTACTATTGCTGGGATTTGTTGTACTCCTCTATAGCTGGTGGTATTCCGCATTGCGCTGCATAATGTACTATTGCTGGGATTTGTTGTACGCCTCTATAGCTGGTGGTATTCTGCATTGCACTGTATATAATGTACTATTGCTGGGATTTGTTGTACTCCTCTATAGCTGGTGGTATTCTGCATTGCGCTGCATAGAGGACTACAAATCTCATCAATAATACATTATACAGCACAATGTGGAATACCACCAGCTATAGAGGAGTACAACAAATCCCAGCAATAGTACATTATACAGCGCAATGCGGAATACTGCCAGCTATAATGTACTATTGCTGGGATTAGTAGTCCTCTATAACTGGTGCCCATTCTGAACCGGTTAATCGAACTCAATAATCGGCTAATTAATCGATTTTGAAAATAATCGTTAGCTGCAGCTCTAGATGAATGGTCACTCTACACCAGGGATCCCCCACTAACCACGAGGGAGCCTCCACTGGCCACCACAGAGGCCCCACTACCCACCAGGGAGCTACCACAGAGCCACCACTAATTATTAGGGAGCCACCACAGATCCCGCACTGACCACCTGACAGTCCGCATTGGCCACATGAGAACCTAATTAGGGAGCCGCCTCTGCTGCACATACACGCACCCGTGAAACTCTCTGCACTCCTGGTGAGAGCCCGCACAACCATCCTGAGACCCTGGAGACATCGGACGGTGAACCCAGAGCAACAGAGTATGTAGCTTCATATTATTCTGCATTGCTGTAATATGTTTTGCTGGGATTTGTAGCTCTCTATAGCTGATGCTGTTCTTCATTGCTGTATAATGGTATTGCTGGGAATTGTAGTTCTCTATAACTGTTGGTAGTCATTATTGCTGGGATTTATAGTCCTCTATAGCTGATGGTATTCTGCATTGTTGTGTAATGTATTGCTTGGAATTGTAGTTCTCTATAGCCACTGCCATTCTGCAATGCTGTACAATGTATTTCTGAGCTTTATAGTCCTCTACAGCTGGTGGTATTATTGTACATTGCTGTATAATGTGCTGAGATTTGTAGTCCCTCTAAAGCTTGGAGTTAGTGGCAGAACTACCAACGTCGCAGCAGTCGTACACGCGCACAGGACTGACGAGGCATCCCTACACTATGAGTATGATATAATTTTCCTCAATCCATAAATTTCTCTACCGCGTCTCTTCCAGGTGCGTATGTCATGAAGAAAGGGGGTCATGAAAACAGCTGATTCGGATGACTCGGCCCCACTGGAAGTGACACAGTCGAGAAAATTTATAGGATCGAGAAAAATTATAGAACACTGACTTTGACACTATCCAGTCCCTCCCACCGCTCACAGCCCAGAAGCATGGACAGGTCTACAGTTGGGGAGAGTACCTAAGTACCGGACATGGAACGGAGTAAGGCCATAACCATGTAGGGAGCCCAGTGGGAGGAGAGCACCATCCTTCAACCAGTCCCTTTCATGGACTTACTAGGAGTCCTCACATCACCCGACCATTCACACTACCTTACATGGATGGCAAAAGTGGCAGACAGGGGCGGGGAGAAGGCGGGGGAAGAGGCAGAGCGGGAGGGGGGCAAAGTTGCTGCACCATGGGGCTCTGGGTTGTACTTGCCCCTTGGGCTAAAAGATGCCAGTCAGCCCCTGGATTGCAGCAAGCATCTTAAAGTGACACTAAACTCAGGAGTTATCTCTTATAAATGCATTCAAGTACCTTAACTATTAACAAAAATGTATCTTATTTGTGTATCACTCGGCTGTAGATCCTCAAATCATCTCTGAATTGGTGCTGACACTGTCCTTCCTTCTGGAGGGTGGCCACTTTTGTTATTTAAAGTGTTGGACTGCGGAACCTGCGTCAAAAAACGTTTACTCTGCAGGCCTTTGAGGAATAAGGTATTTTCTGGGTGCCATCATTAAGAGTGCCAGAGGCAGCAAGAACCCTCGCAGCAAAGAAGCCTAAGTCTAAGTCTGGGAAAGCTCACCCTTTCCTTGAAGTTAGGTCAAATCCTTTTTGTTACTCCATGTCAAGTAATCCCAAGTTCTAACCCAAGCCTGGCTTCCAGTCCATTGGCAAGACTTGCAGCTCCAAGCCTGTCAAGCCTTTATAAGGCAGCTTCCCCATTTTCCAAAGTAGGTGAAACATCTATTCACCATTACAGACACTTGAACAGTCTCCATTTCTAAAACTGGTTTTCCAGTGTCTACAAGCTAGAGGTTTGCTCCGAGCCCTCTCCTTGGTTCATAACTTCCAACCTTTTGTGTCACTGCACAGACTAGAATATATCCACCCTAGTCTTCTGGATCAGGGGGTCACTTCTTTGCTTGGAATCCTCTGGACTTTCAGTTTATGGCCCTGCCATTACGCTTCTCTTTGCACCTTGGGTACGAGCATTGCTGGGCTCTCGCAGGCATTCCCATTGTGGGGTATCTAGGTGAACTCCTACTGAGGAATCAGTCAAAACAGGTAGGCCTGACCATCCAGACCTTGCAGAGTTTCGGATGGAGCCTGAACCTTCAGAAATCAGCGCTGAAACCTACATCACTTTGAGTAATCTGGGTTTAAGCCTGGACAGAGATCTTTTTTTCCCCCAGACATACTTCAAACCCTCCCTTTCCCAGACACTTCAGTATAGGAGTCACCCGACTCTTAACCTTTGGAAGAGAGTCTGGGGGCTGATGATAGCTGCTTTTGTGGCAGTACCATTTGCCTAGTTACCTTCTCCAAGGTTGGAGAAGGTAACTAGGCCTGAAGTCTACAGAGGCCAGATGTGGACCCAGGTGGGGTCTGGAACTGTCTGGGATGGAGAGCCAGAGGAGCCCTTTGTCTGCTGGAGGTGACGGGGTGGCATTGACCTCAGGAACAAGTCTGGTGTCTCTCCCAGGGATGATCTCAAGAATATCCTCTAACCCATTTTGTAAAGCGCTGCACAAACTGTTGGAGCTATATAAATCCTGTATAATAATAATGACCAGCTGTGGTTCTATTACACAGTGTCATCCTCAACTAAAGTATTCCTGCACTGTGGAAGTTGGAAGGGATTGGTGAGTCTAGAATCTATTTTGTCCATGGATGTCTGTAACCCTATATCCTCTCTCCCAGTTTTGGCTGTTCTACAATAAAGCATTAAAAAAAGTAGTTAAAGTGACATGCGCCCAATTTACTGTTCATATCCCACAATCCGGCTAAGGATACATCCCTGAGATTAAAATGTCAGCCCTCCCTGCTTCTGGGGTTGAGGGGGGCACTACAATAATTTTGCTAATTTAGTGTTTTGCTGGAGTTTTGCCTGCAGAGTGAGCTTTGGTTTAAAATTGCTGAGAGATAGACCACAAGATATGTGCTTTACAATAAAGATATGGCAGATGAAACAGA